CGCATGGCTGTTCTGGCTTCCGCGCCCGCCTAGTGTTCCTGCTAAACCCTGCCTTATGCCTCCTCCTCCCCCGCCTAAGAGTCCGAGGCCTTTCAGAAACAAAAGACAGGAACAAGTTCTCACCCGAAATAAACATAGGAAGCGGGGAGGTAAGAACCTTCAACCAGCTAAGAGCTTTCAAGCTACGAAGCCAAAGGGGGCGAATATGAAATGACAAAGAAAAAGCGATGGGCGCGCAGCTTAGTGTGTAGAGTCCTTGATTTCGAAAAGCGCTGTTTTTGTTTCGGCAGCAGTCACGAGAAGCCAGGGCTTTGTTCATTGTAGCGCGCGGCTTGCAAGTACAGTAGGAGAATATAGTCGGTTTTTTTTCTCCTGGCAGTATGGCTGCCAAAGGGCAGGCCCTACAGGAGGCAATGGACGCAATGGGCGAGTTGAGTTCCCAAGACCAGTACAAAGCCAAGCTTGCGTTGACCAGCATTGGGCAAGAGGTGAGTGTGACAAACATGAAGATGGTGCTGGCAGGCAAGCAGCTAATTGCCTTGAATACTGGCAAGATGCGGGTAGCTATCAGTTCAGACCAATTCCAACATATGAAGAAGTCCATCGTCTCGTGTGTCAAGGTAGGGCGCACGTTGTTTATGGTGCCGAAGGCTAACTTGGATCTTCTGCGCGAACCTGAAGTTCAGAAATGGATTGAAAACCCTGCTGATTTCCCTGACCTTCCTCAGTCCTTTGACGCAGCGCTGTGGCACTTGGTGGATAGCGGTTGCCCTAGACACCTGCTTGGCAAAGGCGTGCACGCAATAGAGAGTTCCGTGAGCGACGTGCGGCAGTTCAAGATGGGACCGAGCATGTCGCAGCCAAGCGCACCAGCTTCTGCTAAAGTCATAGAGGATGCGCCACGCGCAGACATGCCGCCGCCACAGTCCACACCAAGCCGCAGCAGACTGCTAGTGAAGCACGATTCTGAGATGGAGATCAAGCAAGGGCTGGAATTGCTGGCACAAAATGCAAAACGGGCATGCGCGGCCAACAACATCCAATGCGCTGACTCTACGGTGCCAACCTTCACGTACTGGATCCAACGGTTTGCGGTGTTTGCCACAAAGCACGCAGATGAGAACCTTGATCCTGATACTTTGAAGGCGATGCAGAGCTTTCCGAAATATGTGGCTACACAGGCTGGAAAAGTTTGATGCCATATTGGCGCTTTTAGGGTGGATTAGCCCTTCGTAATGTTTCTTGCCATCCGTCAGCCCCCTACGTAAAAACCAGTAGGTAAAGCCCCCTAGGTGCTGAACAAGCCGGACATCTTTAACCAACTTCCAATGATCATTGCCCCGCTTCAGCGCCTCAAATCGGAGAAGCCAATCTTGTTCGAGAAGAAGTCTCTTGTCGATGCAATTATCGAGCTTGCGGACCCGGAAAGTTTGGTCAATGATGTGTCTTTTGACTATTTGTCCCCCACAGCCCAAACGGCCCTTGCGGAGTCAGCCGTGAGCAAGGAGTGGGCCAAAGCAAGGCTTAATAGGAAGGTCAAAGACTTGCAAGCGGCGGACGAAAAGGACCTCCAGACAATTCTGGATTTGTTGGCGCAAAGGCCTGACGATCCAGCTTTGCTTTTTGCTTCCACCATGTTCAGCGAATCGCTTGATAGACCTACCAAGTTCAAGTTCTTGACTGGAGATATCGGGCGGTTCGCTTTGCTGGGAGTGTGGGAATGCGGGCATAGGTGGCTCAAAGCCAAACGACTGGTTGATCCAGAGACAAAATTGAGGCAGATGACATGGGATTGTTTTTGGGAAGCTGCGGGCTTCTTTCTATCTATGCCAGAAGCGCTTGACCACGTGGCGAACCCCATGAGCAAGTCCATTTTGAAAGAGTACCTGAAGGCTACGGCTATCCTCAAGACGACGCAGGAGTTGGATTTCGCGCTTGCCTTCCTCCAAGAGGTGTGTGCTGCAAAGCTTGGTCTATCGCTTGGAAAGAGCACCTCGCAAGGCAGCCTGCCAGAGGAGTTGAAGAAATTGTTGCCGGAGGAGGTCTTTCCTTGCGAAGCTGGCGTTGCCCCCGCCAAAGCTTTCTCGAGAAAAGAACCCTTGTCATGCTTTCTTGGATTCGACCTTGTTATCCTCTACACGGGAGGTTGCTCCGGCACCCCCGGCCGGAGAACAACGCGAAGAAAAGCCTGCGGCAGAAGACCCTAAAGGGGTGGAGTTCCAGATTGGGGACCGGGTGACGACCGCTTCAAGGACGAAAAGTGGCACGGGCTCACCGGCGAGGTGGCGAGGGTCCTGAACAAGAAGTGTAAAATTAAGCTTGATGGCCAAGGCTTGGTTGAACAAATATGTGCTACTCCGGCATTTTGAAAGCCAAGAGAGCCCGCCCTGATAAGGAGAGCTCAAAGATTTTGAGCAGAAAAACCTGACCCTCGTTCAGCCGGAGCCTGCTGAGAAGGAAATCGGCCAGGTCGATTTGAAAAGTTTGTTTCAGGAGAAGGATGTCGTAGAGTGATAGAGCTGAGTGGATTAGAAACAATCCCAGATTTTGAGTGCCGGTATGCCGCGAAGGCTCAACAAACCCACGCCAAAAACAAAAGACATGCAAGAGTGCCTTGGGGAAGGATACGTTGTTCTCCGACTCACTTTGCGCGGGCGCTGCGTAAGCGTCGAACCGGGAAAAACATACGTATTCGAGAAGTGGCTTGCGGGCAGCTCGTTGGGCCACTGTGTATTTGTATCCCAAATGTTCGTTTGAAGTAGCGGCTCCGCCACCCAAACCTTATCATCTTGTTGGCCTTGGCGTGAAGCATATCTTGGGGACAATGTTCTCTAGTTCTAGCGGCTCTTCGGGCCGCTATGCTTATGCGTGTCCGAAATGTTTATTTCAAGCAGCGGCTCCGTGGGCCGCTTGCGTACCCTAACTTCAATCTGGCTGCCTTGGCAAGACGGCGTTCTTTTCTTTTGTTCTTTTGTTCATCTTGGCATGAGACATGTGTTGGGAACAACGTTCTCTAATTCTAGCGGCTCGTCGGGCCGCTATATGTACATTGCAAGCAGCGGCTCCGTGGGCCGCTTGCGTACCCTAACTTCAATCTGGCTGGCTTGGCAAGACGGCGTTCTTTTCTTTCGTTCTTTTGTTTATCTTGGCATAAGACATGTGTTGGGAACAACGTTCTCTAATTCTAGCGGCTCGTCGGGCCGCTATATGTACATTGCAAGCAGCGGCTCCGTGGGCCGCTTGCGTACCCTAACTTCAATCTGGCTGCCTTGGCAAGACGGCGTTCTTTTCTTTCGTTCTTTTGTTTACCTTGGCATGAGACATGTGTTGGGTTCTAGCGGCTCGTCGGGCCGCTATATGTACATTGCAAGCAGCGGCTCCGTGGGCCGCTTGCGTACCCTAACTTCAATCTGGCTGCCTTGGCAAAAGCAATCTCCTGGAGAAGGCGTTCTTTTCCATTCGCGGCTCGTTGGGCGGCTGTGCGCGTGTGTCTGTGTCCCCAGTGTTCGTTTTAGGCAGCGGCTTCGCCGATTTGCGTACCCTAGCTTGCCTTTGTTTATCTTGGCGTGAAATATGTGTTGGGAATTCTAGCGGCTCTTCGGGCCGCTATATGTATATTGTAAGCAGCGGCTCTGTGGGGCGCTTGCATACCCTAACTTCGCTTGGCAAAAGCAATGTCCTGGAGACGGCGTTCTTTTCCATTCGCGGCTCGTTGGGCCGCTGTGCGCATGCCTGTGTCCTAATTGTTCGTTTTAAGTAGCGGTTCTGCCTTACTTTGTTTAGCTTGGTATGAAATATGTTTTGGGACAATGTTCTCCAATTTGAGCGGCTCTTATGGCCGCTCTGCGTACTTGTGAATCGCAAATGTATATTTCCAGGTAGCGGCACAAGGGCCGTTTTTGTGCGTTCGCAAATAAGGTTAGTGGAAGATGTTTTTAGTTCGCTGGGCCGCTACGTTTAGGTAGGTGTCTGGAATGTTTATAGATTAGCGGCTCTTTGGGCCGCTTGGGATGGGTAGTGCTATAAGCAACTTTGCGTTGTTTGCGATCCTATTCGCCTTTATAGAGAAAGATGCGCGATGTGTTGACTTGGATGATTTGAGTTGGCGGGCGGGTTGCTTTTATTGCTTGGAATTTCTTTTAAAGATCGTTTGGTAGATTGATTTCTTTTGAAAATAAGATTGGTTATTTAGGCATGTTTAAAATATAGTGTTTGTGAGTTTTATGTTGGTAATGCATTGGCAATTGGGTCCTTATTGTTGGTTATTAAATCATTAACTAGATATGATTTTGTACTTAATACTTGCATGGTTAGATATTATGGAAGAATTTATATATAATGGGTATATACAGTATATTTACTCATGAATCAAAATACAGATATGTTATATCGCGTTATTTCGCGCTATTTCGCGCTATTTCAAGTTAATTTTGAGTAAGGGAAGCTCCCATAATTTAATTTCTAACTTTTCACGACTTCTGGTTTGGCAGGTCCATCAAAGGGCCACGGGTCTGTATGGGTCTTTAAAAGTGAGATGTTGTTTCATAGAAAAAGTCTCGAGCGGTTTCCAGTTGATTGTCCTTGCCTCAAAGACAAGCCTTGTTTATAAAGACCTGGATGTTTCTACGTTTCTTTTTGGTTTCCCCTCCACACAAATCCCCAACAGGACCAACCGACTTCTCGTTTCTTCGGTGTCTTTTTCGCAACTTTATCTGGATCGCACGTTTTTCAGATGCAGTTTTTACTGAGTCAACATTCATATTATATGGCCATGGGTCAAGATCCCGTACCCCCAGTGAACATCCCAATCCCCACCCTACTAGGTTCTAAAATGGGTGGTGCACCGAAAACCCCCACATGGGATCCCATTGGTTTTGACCCACAGCCATATCATTGACTTGGCAAATAACATGTCCAACTCCAACAATTTCCCCCGCACCAACCCCCCGAAATGTCCACGCCACGGCGCGGCGGCGAGCTCGGCGCCGAGCTCGTGCCAGGTCTGCTGCGCCAGCTCATCCGGGGCTCGCGGAGATGGCGCGATGAGGCACCAGCGGTGTGCGGCTGGTCCTGTTTCTTTCTTGTTGTTGTTTGTTTGTTCTTTTTTGTGTTGGTGTTTGTTGTCATTTGGGTGTTGTTGTTTTTGTTGGTGATTTTCGTTGCTTTTCTTATTTTTTTTGTGTGTGTGTTGGTTGTTGTTCTCATTGTTGTTGGCATGCTCATTTCGTGACTGTCTTTTTTGTTGTAGGCGTGTCTTTTGCTGTTGGTGTTTAGTGGCTGCAAAGAACAGTCAGTATTTGGCATAATTACATGCCAAGGATTGGAACTTCTTTGGAGATTTGGCTCAAACCGGAAGTCCCTCTATGTCGGTAAATACAGCATTGCATTTCTGTTCAGAGCCTCGGAACATGTCCCAACCGCCCTTTTTGCAGAGCCTCCGAAATGCTCCAAAAATCTTTGACTAGGCTTTTTTTGGGGAGGGTTCCCCTACTAGAATAGACTACAGAAGAAAGGATACCCGTATTCTAACCTCTCTACTGGAGGACATAGGAAATGCTCCCAAAATCTTTTTTGTTTTTGTGCGAGGCTTCCGAGATGCACCCCGCATGAACATGCAGAGCAACCATTTGGAAAGAGGATCACAAGCTTAGGCATCCTTTTTTGTGGTTTTGGTAGGAAAAACAAATGGCCGTGGTTTACCTGGTGGTTCAATCATCCACCAGGGCCAATTTGTTTTTACCCCCAAACAACACCTCTGATCACAACTCAGAAGTCCCCCACAAGGGTCTCCAGGAGACGCCACCGGTTGGGTAGAATGGGGTGCCCAGGAATTGTTGTGACCCCAAGTTCCTAGCATCACGGTGAATCCAGCTTACTTCGTGGGTTATACCATGGACTCCTAGAGGGTTATTTGCTTGCCACATGGGCAAGCATCTCTTGAGCGCTCAGCAACCCAGCATAATCCTAGGAGTTACCTTCGGCTGGGGTTACTGACCACTTATCAAATGGGTCTTACTTACTGGGTTATTGCCAATTGCCCACTTATGGGATGGGTTTTGGAGGTATGGAGGCTGATATTCCACATAAAATACTCTAAGGCTTTGTTTACCGAAAAAATAAATAACCTGCATGTCGTAGATGGACGAATTCCTGCACCACCTAAGAAACCCTGGTTTCGGATGATTCCCCTACAAATACCAACCACCGCCATGGTTCGTGGTGGTGCAGGACCTACACTCCTAAAATGGAAGCTCCAATCCCGCAAATGGAACTAAGTCTGCCATTTCGGGGCCCTGGGAGCGTTCAATACTTTCTTGGGATGCACGCGAAATCTAAGCTGGTTGGCGTGCCTTTGTTACGCAAAGGAGGGGGGGGTGCCAAAAATGATTCTATGATTCATGGAAGTTGGGGGGGAGCCCAGATATACCTGAAAATTCATAAAACACTACCTGAGTTGGGGGAGGGTATACCTGAAAATGGCTTGCTGGACCCAGGGTGTACCTGAAAATCGCTTCCTGCTTATATGAGTCACGGAAGTTCGGGTGCTATTGCTGGCCCCAGCCACGTTTGACTCGTTGCCAGGCGCGGCTGCAAGCTGCCGCAGAGAGGCTGAGCGAAGTGCTGAACCTCAACGGCGCCTCTGCTCGAGCGACCAAAGTGGTGGCCCCGCGATGTTGGCCTGTTTTTTTTTGAGGGAGGGGGGGGGGATATTTTTAGTGCTTTCTTTCTTTTTTTTGGGAGGGCGGCGGGGAGGGGGAGATTTCTGGTGCTTTCTTTCTTCTCTTTTTTATTTGGGGGGGGGAGGGGGATATTTTTAGTGGTTTCTTTCTTCACTATTTTTTTTTTGGAGGGGGGATATTTTTAGTGTTTTCTTTCTTCTTCTTGTTTTTGGGGGAGGGGGAGGGGGATGTTTGTTTACACCTGGTTTTATAGGGGGAATCCCCTTTTTTTCCGGTTTTTGCGGAGGCTTGGGAAACTTAGGTTGTCCCCCCCATCTGATGCTGTGTGGGCTTGTTTGGGACACTTTGTTGGCGGCTGGGTTTTGTTGGGACATGTCTGGTTGTTCCGCGAAAACCGTTTAGCTCCAATGGTCAATTCTTTGTTGTGTGAAAGGCAACAAGGGGAACTTGGTTCACTGTTGCAAACCATCTATTGTAAGTGCTTCAAGAATTAGAATGGGCTTGCGCAGGAATGATTGGCTACCTCGGTGGGAGTTATGCTTGTAATTCGCCCCTTAGATCGGGGGGACTCTTACGAGGACCGAGCCTAATCCCCCACCCCCCCCAGACCCACTCCGTTGCCGTCACCCACATAGCATGCGAGTGAGCCGACTGACAGGTTCAGGTATAGGCTCAGAGTTTAGCTTGTGGGTTCAGCAAAAAAAGGGTCGTTTTAGGATTTAGGTGTGGGGGTTTAGGTCTGGGGTTTAGGTTTAGGATTGAGGTTTAGGGTGTAGGTTTGTGTTTGGGCTTTATGGTTTAGGTTTATGGTGTTGAAGGTCTGGCACGCATGGACCTGAGACGGCGGGCTGGGATGGCCACAGGCTGTTGAGACATGGAATGAGACATTTGCTAGCCATTCGTCGGTCCGGCCCTTAGGTTCACCGGCAACCCCGAAAAAATAAGCATGAAACATGCCTCAGTTCTACTCTCCACCAGTGGGGAGGGCCATTTGTTTAGTCATTGTTTTTGGATGTTGACCCAATAAACACCCAATACTCACCACCGACCCAATACCCGCCCATTCAAAAATATCCCACCCAATACCCACAAGCATATTGTCAACCCCCACGTCTTCCCAATACACAATGGGGAATGCTCGAAGAAACCTGTTTTGCTGGGCGTCTTTTTTTTTTTTGAGATGCTAGCTTCAGAACCCTGGTTTTGTGGGGTGTTCCTTTTTGGTTTGGTGATTGAGAAGACCCACCCTAGAACCCTCCGCCTGGAGGCACAGCTGTCTGCAGCACTTCGCAGCTCATCCAGGAAGCGGTGGCGCCGGGGCCTCGGGAACTCAGGAGGGATCAGCCCAAAGGTCCCTGCCATTGGCCTTAGGTAAGCTTTTTTTTCCTACTAAGAAGATCTCTTCTTAAAAAAAAAAAGAAACTCCCAAAAAAGCCATTGCTTTATGTATATATATGTTGCTTTTCCCTGGTTCTAAAGGGAATCGATTGTGTGTATTTCTTGCTTGCTTTTCCTATATGTTTGTTTTCTTCTTCGGGGGGCGAAAAAGCAGATGGAAGGTCCTCATGGCTCATGGGATGACTCATGGGACAATCCCCACCAAACTGGGGATATTTCTATGAAAAAAGTGCTTTTCAATGTGCGTGGGGCACACCTGAGTGCAGGACTTCCAGTTGAACAACTCTCTGCCTGAGTTCCTGGACTTTGAGCTTGTTGGGAAGACCGTTGGAGCTAAAAATGAAAGTTTGGACTGGTTTGGCCAGTCGACGCAGGAAGTGGGGGGATGACCATTAGACACCCCGCCAGAAAGATTGGGCAGCCGTTGTCTGGGATGGTAATCTGTAATCTGAGTGTCCAAGCCACTCCATTTTAGTCAAGGGCTTCAACTACCTGCTTGAGTAGAGGTTTACTAAGGACTGCATGAACATTCATCAGCATCCTAGAAACAAAAGTCAACCGGATTTTGGCACAGCTCACCTGATCATGACCACATGTGTCCCCCCAGAGGCTCGGACGGATCCTGTCCCCCTTAGGACAACCAGCCATTTTGGTTTACGCGCCCAGGTAGGAGTTAACGCTTGCAACCCATTTCTGAAGCTTAGTTTTGGGTTCGGTGCTTCCAGCTAACCCACCAGAGGCATCAGAGTAGGAGATATGTTTTACCCCTTTTACGTGTTGGCTGCCGTTGGCTGCCACTTTAAGAATAGCTGATTCATAAACATAGAAACATATAGAAAGACTCCGCTATTTGCAGAAGCCTGAAACTTCGCGGGGGGGGGGGGGGGGGGGGGGAATCGGAGCCCCTTCTGGGTTTCACGCTAATACTGTGGATGGATAGAATCCACTTTGCACCGCTCAGGCGGTTGGTCCAATCGCGTTTCCATCCCAACTGGCGCCGACTGGCGGATTTGGTCCGGGGTCTGTAACTGGAAGCTCCCTATGCGATCCCCTGGTTCTAAGGGTTGATTCCTTTTCCATTCTTTCCAGCCATCGTTCTTTTTTCGGAAGCCGGATCCGTTTCTCTTGGCTTTCCGGAGGTCTTCTAAGATCCGGATCCCTGGGTTTAGAATGGAAATGGAAGGTAGCACTAGACTTGTTCTTCCTTTCGGTTTCCCCCCCAAAAATATATATATATATATATAATATGCGGAAGGTAGCACTAATTTGACTTGTTGTTCCTTTCGGTTTCCCTTAAAAAAAAAAAAAAAAACGGAAGGCGAAACACCGAGGAACACATCAAAAGGCTCGCGGCGCTTTTAGTTCGGCAACTCGAGCCCTCCAAAAACCGGCACAAGGCATTAGCCAGCCGACAAGCACGACTCAGTTCGGTGAGGGTCTGTCTTGTTTAGGGGGCCTTTTCGATATTTTTTTGGGGTAGCTTTACAGGGAAGCCACATGGCTGTGGGTTAAAAATAGGTACCCGAAATGGAACCCTAGTAAGTAGCAACATGGACCGAAACCTGTGGCCCCTTGGTGGTTTAATTTTGACCCACATGCCCGAAACGCAGAGACGCACCTCATCTGGGTGGCTGTGTCTTTTTTTGGAGGGTACCGGGCCCCTTTTTGGAGGGTTTGCGAGGGAAACAAGCAGGAAAAGCCACCCTTTTTGGGGGTCCGATTCCCATAAATAGACATCTCGCAGCTGCAAGAAAATAGTGCTTCTGATTGGATTGAGAGGAAAACCATAAGGAAAGCCACCATTTTAAGGGGGTCCCCGAAAAGATAACTCTCTTTTGAGATGGTTTTAAAGGAGAAGCCAAAGGAAAGGCACCATGTTAAGGGGTTTCCCGAAAAAAAGAAACAAACTAACTCCCTTTTTAGATGGTTTTAAGGGGGACACCAAAAGGAGAACCACAGCCTTGGGGCGGTCCGATCCCCCAAAAAAGCCGCCGAGCCGCGCGCCAGATTTCGAGGCGGGCCTCTTTTTGGAGGGCACCGGGCCCCTTAAAAGGTTTGCCAGGGAAACAAAGCGGAAGACCGCCGTAGGTCCGATTCCCAAACATCGACACTGTCCCTTCTCCACTCACCACTCGAAAGCTTGGGCTTGCTAAAGGGAGGGCGGTCGCTTTGGCCTCGACCACTCTGGTGGTTTCACAACATTTCGAGGACCTTGCCCGATGCCCTGGACAGCCTGGCGCGGCAGCGCCTGGTGAAGGCCAATGAGCGCCTCGGTGAAAGCTCTGAGCTTCCGCTCGCTCGCGGCTTCGCTCGGCCAGGGTTCGGGCGGTTGTTTTGCATTTTTTTTGGGGGGGGTGAGCCGGTTTCTGGTTGGTTGGTTTAGTTTCTGGTTGGTTGGTTTAAATGGAATACAAAAGGACACAGGTGTTTTTTGGTTTTCTGGGGAGCCGGCGATTTTTTTTGCCTCGGGCTGGTTTGTTTACTAGGGCTGGTCTCCTGGTTGGGTGGTTGGTTGGTTGGTTGGTTGGTTGGTTGGTTGGTTGGTTGGTTGGTTGGTTGGTTGGTTGGTTGGTTTACCCGGTTTCTGGTTGCTTGGTTTACAGGGAATACCAAAGGAGACTTTTTTTTTTGGGGGGGGGGGGGAGCATTTTGAGGAACCCGCGTACCCATTTTAGGTTGAAGGAAAACGAAAAGAACAACCACGAGTTTGAGGGTCTTCCCATTTCGACACACCAATTTGGTTCATGTTGAGGGCAGTACTTGCCATTTGGGTTCACCCGGTGATGTTGTTGTTCTTCTTCTAGGGGCATCTTTCCCATTCTCTCCACGGATCCTTCTTTCTAGAAACCCACCAACAACCCTGGGAAATTGTGGGTTTTTGAAAAGAACGATGGCTGCAAAGGATGGAAAAGGGGATCAGCCCCTAGAAAGTCTGGTGTCTTTTGGACAAGTTGACGGTCCAGACTTTGAAGGGCATCGAAGGGGATGGGTCATGACCGGATGGGTAGTTGAAGCGAATGGGTCATGCCTGGCAGATGAGCAAGCCATTCGGGAAGTGATTCCCGATTTCACAAGTGGTGCAGGGTTTTTTTATTGGTGCTTGGCACCTTACTTGGATGCCCAGCGCATTTGGCAAATCCCGTCAACAGCTTGGGGCTGGTCATCTCAGTGATTTGGCCAAGGTGCCTTTAAAAGGGACCGTTTCGAACCAGGGTTCCGCCTCTTTAAGGGACCAACCCTCAAGGTGGGTTCGCCACCAACGTGCAGCCGCTTTACACTTTGCCCGAAAGCAAAAGGGTGGGGGATCGATGCATGGCTTGGCTCAACCCCACAGAGTCGGACAGAGGAAAAGATGAGACTGATTGTGGTCATTGTCATGATGTACAGGTTTCACGACTATGAACTATGATTGTGAATGCTATGAGTAGCTTGATAGTTTATCATGATGCGCTTGTGCGTTATGTTTCAAAATTGCATTCGCGGTGCAACCCCGCTGCATTTAACGCCGGCACAAACACGACAAAGCACTCCATGACAATGATCCCGCCAAGAGGTTCCATGGTTGACATGGCGGGCGGTCAGAAACCTTCAGAGACCCTAAAACTCTCGCGAAGGTCCCTCACTTCCTTCAAACTCATGTGAAACCCAGAAAGGGGGTCCACGAATAGAAATGATGGCTGACGGGTTTTATGGAACCCATTCACGGCGAATCATTGTTCGCCATTTTCTGTCCACACATGGAATTAACGCCTACCTGTACCTGAACATGTTATAGGTTGAAAGCTATAGGTGGCCTTAGTTCAGTTTGGTTGAGCATTCTTGGTGGCTCGCAGCCATCCCCTTAGCTTTTTATCCTTTTAGTGCTTAGTGGTGGTTTCCATTTAACCCACTAAAAGTTAAACTTTTAGCAGGGGATCTGAGGGCAGGCCAGCATGAGAGTGGCACTGGCGGCAGGTCAGTTCGATTTTCATTGAGCGTCATCTATTCTGCAAGGACACCGGGCACCTGCCCTGAGCATCCCTGAGCATTCTCTAGGTCGGTATCAGCTCCCCGCCTCAAGGCTGCAAGCCTTCCGGCCTCTTGAAGGCCAGATTCACCATGCCCCTATCCGAGAGCCAGCAAGAAACTTGAGAAGCAATCCAAGGGCAGGGCTATGAAACCATCCCCAGCCCACAAAAAGGGGGACCCTTCCCCCACCCAACACCCCGAAAGCGGCACGCAATCCCAGCGGCATGGCTGAAGGAAGTCCTCGAAGCTGTCGGCGGAGGGAAACCTGAATCAGGCCGGGGGCCTCCCGTGATGCATTTTTTGGGCGTGCGTTTGGATCGCCCCATCTGAGAAGGGCACAGATGAAAAAGACACACACACACACCCACACTGTTCTGTTTTTACGGAGAACCCTCACGCATTGTGGTGGTTTTTGGTAGGTTGTGGGGTGCAAAGCCGTTCGTTGCTGCGACTTTCACCCACAGGAGGTTCTCAATTAAAATCCGTTCAGCCGTAGAGTCTCCGAATTGGAAATGGTTCCGCTTTGAAATGATCTTTGAAGCGAAGTCAATAGGGAACGGCGCCCAAATTTCAAAGACGGTGTTGGTTGTTTGCAAGGACGGTCGACAGGAACCTGAGCCCCCGCTTCACCCTAAACGGACTGCAATTCCATTTATGGTTCCAATTTCCCTTCCCTTAATGGAATTGGGGGCCTGGAATTGCATTTATGGCGACCCATTTTCGCTATGTGGAAGACTGGATAAATGGAATTGGGGGACCCACCCTCCTCTCCCTTAAGGTAGGGGCGATGTTTTGGGTATGGATTGCCGTTGAATCACATGCGGGTAACAGAGGATCTGCCAATAGAGATACATAAATGGGTGTGTCTTTTCAAAAGGGCACCGCTTATCTAGTGGTTTAAAAGGGAGAACAAAGGGAAAAGCACCATCTCGGGGGTGTGCTATTCCTAAGGAAAGTCGAGCCATCCTAATTTGAACTGGGGCAAAGAGGAGCTCAACGGGTCGATTCCACTTCAGGCGGAGCACGTGCTGAAGCGGGCGCTCGCAAAGGCCACCCTGGCCCGAGCCTGAGCAGTCAGCGGTTTCTAACCCGTGATTTTTGTTCGGGTCCTTGCGGTAGAGGGACAGTGATTTGAAGACAACCGTCTTAATTTTTGGAAGATTCATATTTGCCCCGAAGCGTGATTCCATGTTTTCCTTGCAGATGTACCAAGCTTGTCCCCAAAACAGGATTCGACACACTGATCCAGGGTGGATAACCTGCAAAAGCAAGCCTGAACACGCGATTTGATGGTTATCAGGGAGCCCCGGCTCAACTAGGGAAATAATGTATGGACGGGGTGGCCACGTTTTTCTGTCTGGGCATAGATTGCCCATTTCTGGCATTGTATGTCCAATCTTTTTGAATTAAACAAACTGAGAATTTACACATTTTACACCAGAATTATAAACAGGGATTCCATGTTTCAGGGAGACCTAAAAACTATGACCCGACAACTTGTTTTTTTTGACCATGGCCCATTTCAGTGTGTGATGCTCAGTTGCCCAAAGCCGACCTTTTGAGCTTTTGGTTTCCCTGATTTGGTCCATTTTTAGCAAAGGTCCCAACAGGTTAACCTTTTATTTCCAGGTCCTTTGAGCAAGTAAGGATGTTTTAATGTGCTTGTTCCAGTCCTACTCGGTTCTTCCTCCCTCTCCGGACTGGCGGATCGATTTTGCTGGCCAATCGGCAGGCAAGCTACTACACTCGGTAATCAGAGATTTTACCTTTGCCCCGAAAGCATGCGCAGTACGGTGAGATAGATATATCTGAACGTTTGCAAACTTTGGCCATAGACCTGGATCTTCCAAAGTGCCTATGGTTCATTCCTTTTCGTGAAAAGCTGCTTTTCAGACAAACGACGCTTTTTTGCATCTCCAGGCACTTTACACTTGATTGCTCTTCTGGGACAACTCCATGAAGGTGAAACGACGACTTTCCCCGACAAAAACCCTGACAATCCCCGACCAAGCAGCGACTTTCTCCTACATTTGAAACTATACAGTGTTGCAGTAAAAAAAGTGTTTGTGCGACCCACAGGACTGATTTTGTTTGGCTTTTTCGGCAAACGGCGGGACACATGAAAGCACACCTGGAAGATTCAGGATACGTATCATCTCATGTGGAACATCCACCAAATGGTTTCCTTACGGCTTCCTTTCCTTCAATGGTCACAGGAGACTCGACACTTTCCATCAACCAGCCCAATGCTTCCAATAAGAAACCACCTCTTGCAAGCTGCATCTTGCTCGAGTGCTTGCTGAAGTATGTCATGCTCAAGTCTGCTCAAGTAGGTCTCGAAGCACCGGTTTATCGCCTTAAAACGGGAAACCCGGGTTTTTCAAGTCTTGGAGTGCACCTTCAGGGGAGGGGGCGTGTATCCGAGGGTTGGCACCGTGGATCAAATTCGAGTTACTGACACCAGTGGAAGTGTACTAAGTTAGCTTGGGGCCAACGGAAGACAGCCCAATGTTCCCACAATCAGGAAGACAACCCAAATTGTCCATTTGCGTGGCTCGTCTTTTTTTGAGTTGGTACTTGCTTTTTTTCTTCTTCTTTTTTTCCGGTGGATTTCAAGGGAAATTACGCGGAAAGCCACCTTTTTGGAGGGCCCCCAACAAAAAGACACGCCCATGTCTTCGTGCGGAAACACGTCGACTCTTTGGCTCAGATGTGGGCTTCGGTGTCCCCCGTTCGAGGCCTTGCCAGTTGCGGACCCTGACCTGCTGGTCACCCGCTTGAACTTAGGACCGCGGAGGGACACTCGCCGGAGGGGACAGACAGGTGCCTTCGTTGAAAAAAAGAAGCGCGCCCAAGCATGGCATTTGGTTTGCCGCCCTTTTTCCTTGGCCCGAAAAAGCTGAATTTGTTTTTTGGCCCGAAAAGTATGAACTGTGTTTGGCAGGTCTCAGACTTCATGTCATTCCATTCTTTCCCATGAAATGTTCCTTGCCGATTTGCGTTGGTCGTGGATTCTTTCGGCAAAGCAATCCACTTCCCAGAAGAAACCAAGTGGGTGTGGCTCAAAATTAAACAGGAGGGGTTACGCAGGTGTTGGTCCATGTTTCCACTTACCAGGGTTCCATTTTGGTACCGGTTTTTTGAGCCACAGCCAAGTGAACTCACCCAAAGTGGAAAGCCTTGCCAGTGGACTTCACCCGTCGTTTGGTCTGGGCCGCGAGGCGCCGAGGGCGTCTTTCTCAGCCGAAGGTATGCGAAGGATCTATGTCCCTAACAGACAAAAAAGCCACCCGAAACTAGGTCCCCCAGCCAGGTGCCAACTTTTTTACCGTTTCTTTTTTTGGGAGGGCTCCCCTACTAAAATATACTACAGAAAAAGAAAAACTCAGGTACCCTTGTTCTAACCTCTCTACTGGAGGACCTAGAGAAAGTGGCGAAGGGTTACCCTTCTTTCGTGACTGGGATTGGAAGGGAAACCACATTCAATCCTTGCGATGAGTTTTTGTTGTTTTCGGCGCCTTCAATAAAAATCAGCAAGCCAAACTCAGTGGTTGCATTCCCAGTGTTATCGCCTTCCCCTAAAAAAAAATACCCCCCCCTGTACCAAACAGAATACGGCTGAGATTTGGGAAATGGACATGACATGGTTCCCAAATGTTTTACCAACTCCGTTGGGCTGGTTTTCTGGAGTTGGTAGTCACCTGGTTTTTGTTTTTGGGGAAACCACAGGGGGTAAACTTCTTGTAAAAGGTGAAGGGGGTGTCACACCCAAGCTCCAAACCAATCAGAACCAGGTCTCAAAAACCCATGAAGGTGGGGGGCATGACAGCTTTGCTGGGGTCCTTGCTGCAAAATCGTGGCTGCCGAGTGCTCTGCCAAAACCTTCCTTCTGCAAAGCTCACCCTTGAACCCTCTGCCGCTCCATTTGTATCCCAAGCCTGGCATGTGAGCGTCGACTGAAAGCCACCTTCAACGCTCGCCTTGCGGCGGAAAATGCGATGTCACGTCCCCCTTCGCTTTCCGAATGTGATGGATTTGCCTGCGAAGAAGCTTGCCAAATGGCAGAACCAAAAGAATCCAGGCCAGGCAGCCGCGCGCCATAAACAAGATGTTGCAATGTAGCCCGCGTGCCTGGCATCATGTCGAATTGCAAACGACCAGCAACAGCTTCAGAAGGCGCTGCATGAAGCTGAGAACAAGTGACTTGCCGTGCCGCTGGGCAAACCTGTGGCCTGACTGACTGCTGTGGGACTGACCGCTTTGCCCGCAGGCGCGCACTGCGTGGGTGCAGTACTGGGCCTCACAGATCCGGCTTTTTCAGCGCTTCCACCGGAAGGGTGCCCAGACGGTGCGCCAGTTCCTCACCCAATCCAAGGATGAAGGCCTGGGCTTGTCTAAAGGCTGGTGCGGCTTGCTTGCCCACGCGAAGGGAAGAGTGCCCCTTACACCTCTGGATGAGTCAAGACCGGGATGTTCGCAAACTCATCCAAAGGGTTCAGAGTGGAATGCATCGGAGACATGATTTCAAACAGGGGACCCCAAAATGGTTGATATCCTTTTGGTCTCCTTTCAGAACCACCTCAAAAAGGGTACCCGCAAAGAAAGACCCACCCGGCTGGTCGAGAACTTGGCCAGGGAGAGGTCGCAGAGTCGCAAGCAACGGCCGTCATCTTATTTGTCTCCGTGTGCACATCCGATTCCATGCGGGTTTTCCCTCCACTAACTTGGGGGTGAACACTGGTATCATGCCATACCTTTGCCTTGTGTGCTACATTGTGTTCGAGATGCATCAGTTTCAATAGGATCCAGCCAAGAATTTGCCGTGCTTGTTTAATGTATGCATTATACATACGTACGTACATGCCTGCCTACCTACCTACCTATCTAGTGTGTGTGCGTGCATGCATGCGCAGACACCCATCCGTCCTTCCATCCGGATGCATGCATGCACACATTGAAACGCACATACTTCCAAGAACAAAGAGTTCCAACACGTTGACTTCCCCTGTGTCCAATACTGGTTGCGAGCCATAAAAGGGGCATTTGTGTAAGTTTCTCAGAATGGTGGACCCCCTTTCAGTTGGCAACTAAGAGGAAATCAAAGGGAACCAACCAATTTAGGAGTATCTTTAAGATTTTATATTATAGGTTTGGAATCGGGGATGTGAGTTTTCCATCATCTCTTGAAGCTTGCCTAAATAACATCTCCCATGAATATCGCGAGGTCCCATCAAGGTGTCGAGGGGTCTGAGGAAGGTCTCAAGGGTCCCATGAAGCCTGTGAATTGACCCAAATCCTGCACAGTCCGGTGGTTTCTCCCATTATTTGCTTCATTTGTCCCAAGCAGCGCCAAATGATTTTGCCCAGCATCATGGGTGTTTCTCGCCTTCGGGCCACGCGTTGCCGCGCGTGGCCACGCGTGGCCCGGAGGTGGTTCCGCCCGTCGCAGGAGCTCTGCGGCAGCGCAGCGGCAAGGCGGACCAGGCACTGCTGGACTTGGAGGCGCGAGCGAAGGTCCCCGCCCGAGCGCGTCGGGCGCGGGCGGCTGATTTTGGTCGCTTCGGGGTCCAGCCGAGCAGGCCGAAGGACGTGCCCACGGGGCCAACTTCCGGGGCTGACTTGGGTGTTCGCTTCGCCAAGGTGGTAAGTTGTTGCTATCGTAGGTTATATGCCACCTATAAGTCCCCCAATGTGGGATTAACTTTAATATCAGGGAATTATACCCCAAGTGGCTAACCACTTACTATCTGGCGAACATCCAAGTAGGGTTCAGGAAGCCGAACCAGGACACGGGAAGTTGCGTCGCCAGGGCTTGTTTTTTTTTTGGTGATTGGCCACCTCCATTTTGTGTTATTATTATTTTGGGTTAGGCAGTGACAAGGGTGGGACTTGAACCCCTGGTTCTTGTAGAGAGTATATGAGGCGCCAAACCGCGGGCTCCAAACCACCCAAAAATTGGGGGAAGCTGAACCTTGCCATCTGCGGCTGAGGAAGCGACTCCAGTCAACCGAGCCTCCATATTTCCATTTGGAGACAAAGCCATGATTTGCATTTTGAAGATAGGGCGATGCCTGTCCCCACATTCCCCACTCAAAACGGTCAACCTTTCCCTTTTTGGGATCATCGTGCTTTTCTCACGGTTTTTGCAGGGGTATACCTCAATTTGTTTCCTCGCTTGGACCCTCCAGGGCTTTTTCTTTCAAGGCTGGCAAGTGGTCCAAGCGCATCAAGGAGAAAGGAAGCTGGCCCAAAGCGAACAGCAGTGGTCGGTTTTTGTTGGTTCCTTGTTGGTCATCTGTTTTCGCTGCCAATGAGCTAGCAGAAGCCTGGTCCGGAAAAGCTGATTGGTCGGGGCGGCCACCTGGAAGCCCTCGTTGTCAAAGGAGCGGAGAGTTGATCATGTTGACCCAGGATCTAAGTAGAACCCGTCCCATTAGGGGGGTGAAAACCTCTCCAAAAGTGGTCTGAATCCAACCACTAAAAGGGGACACCCCCTATTAATCAAACAGGCGTTTATCAATCCGGGGTTAACATTACTGGAAAACTTCTGCACACTTGCAAATCCATGCTGAAACTCCCCCATCCGCGGTAGACCTCAACTTGTCTCATTTTTTTGTGGGGGGGCCAGGATGACCGCGTTGCCTTTTTTGGAACCCGATGAATTTCCGGCCAATGCGAGGGACTCTTCGTCACAGCAGCCTTGTATTTGGAGTCACTGAAGATGGTGCACCCCATGTGCGCTTCAGGAACCCGAGTGCGAGAATGAAGGGATCATGCCCCAACAAGCTTTGAACACGACACGCGATAGCCGTATGGTCACAGAAACTGAAGGTTCCCACCCCGCCACCCCGCACGCCATGGGTGTGTCTCTTTTTTCGCGCAGATCGTTGGGCTTATCTCGTGGCTTCCTTTTTCCTCTTTTTTGTTTGTTTTTGGGTGGACCTCTTGTGGTTCAATCGTTGGAGGGGTGCCCTAGCTTTAGGTCAAACCCAGCCCTGGGGTTCGGGGGCCTTAAAAAGAAAGGCCTTTAGGAAGCGGCCGTGAAATGTGGGGAACGTCCTTTGTTTGCAAGCTGGACGTTTTTAATTGGGTTGACAGTTTTGTGTTGGCCGCATTAGTAGCCACATGGCTTTGCAGTGCTTGTGGCTGAAAAGTACGCTTTCCAAAGCCTCGCAAAAACCATGTAGACATGTTGAAGCTGGTCAATGCTCAAGGTCTTCAACTTTGTGGGATCATGGGCTTAGCAGTGGGACATCGACAAGGGAAAAGCGTGAAAATACCGTGAAATTGGCGTGAACGCCTTTTTTTGCAGTGAAAGACCGTGAAACGCCGTGAAATTTTGCAGGCGAAAAACCACTCGCATTCGTCCTGGCTGGCGTTGTTTTCTGCTGGGTTTGAAAAGGTCTTGCTGAATGGATGTTTCGGGAAGACCATGATTGTTCCATTGATGCTGCAGACATGTGCTGCTTTAACGTTGAGGCCTTCGCAAGTCTTGCTTGGTGTGGAAAAGGCTTGTTGCTGACGATGTACAGTTGGAATTCCACCCAGGCCCCCGTCCCCCAGCTAGTCAAACAAAGGATGTTCATGTAACGGCCTTTGTTTTAAAAGCCTTTTACCCCCCAGGGCCAGAGAGTAATCTCCTTCCGAACTCAGAAAGTGACGACAAGGAACACGTACCTGCTCCGAAAAGCCGCGAATTTCTTAGCCAAGCAATGAATAAACCACTTTTGCAGCCTCAACCCACAAAACCAAAAGCCACCCCACCCCTCTCCCCACCCCACTCCCTACCCCACCCCACCCCCTCAGCCAGGAAGTCTTCCAGGCGCAGGTTACCACCCTGGGCCCGGACCACGTGGACACCAAGGCCACCGTCCAGGCCATCGGCGGCCTAGGTGCGGGGTTCGGGCCGGGAGCTGGGGGCTGCGGGATTTGGAGCTGGGGTGTTGGGGAGGTTGGTGGGGTGGTTGGTGGGGAGGTTGGTGGGGAGGTTGGTGGGGAGGTTGGTGGGGAGGTTGGTGGGGTGGTTGGTGGGGAGGTTGGTGGGGATGGGTTGGTGGGGAGGTTGGTGGGGTGGTTGGTGGGGAGGGTTGGTGGGGAGGTTGGTGGGGAGGTTGGTGGGGATGGGTTGGTGGGGTGGTTGGTGGGTAGGTTGGTGGGGTGGTTGGTGGGGAGGTTGGTGGGGAGGTTGGTGGGGTGGTTGGTGGGGAGGTTGGTGGGGATGGGTTGGTGGGGAGGTTGGTGGGGTGGTTGGTGGGTAGGTTGGTGGGGTGGTTGGTGGGGAGGTTGGTGGGGAGGTTGGTGGGGTGGTTGGTGGGGAGGGTTGGTCGGGTGGAGGTTGGTGGGGTCAACATTGTGGTTGTTTTGGTATTGTTCAGACGCAAGAGGCCCTTTTTTGAGCTGCAACCGGATAGTGAGACTCTGGGCTTCTTCTTGCTCCTCTGAGTTTCACGGGTTGCCCTTGGGGGGATGAACCAAAATGGGTGGACGAAACAGCTTGCCAGATCGGTTCGTCTCGTCTTCAATGGGGACCTCGAAACTGCAATCGGTCTGCAGAATAACAAATCGGTTGACTTCCTCCGATTTCGGGAGAGGTTCTTTTTGTGAAGTGCTCTACATGGCTGTGGGTCGAAACCCTGTACCCCTGGTGACCAAAATAGGTGGTCAAAATAGGTGGTTCGTCCGCCCCAAAATGGAGGCATAGGTTATGACCCATGGCCACATCCGAAAACTGCTTCCGCATTCCTCATTGTTTTTTTCTGCCCGAAAGCCGAGCCATCCCCAACTGCAAACACAGAGAAGCCCTGGCAGCAGGTCGCACCGGTTGTGCACTTAACAGCCATCTGAGGTTGTTGTTGTTTTTCGTTGGTTCCAGTACACCCATTTGTTTAGTATTATGGGGGCTGGGGGGGAGGGAGGGGAGGGGTAGGGAGCCCAAATAACCCCTAAATATAAGGCCCTAATAAGGGCTACTAAAGGGATTTTTGGGGCTCCCTCCCCCCCCCCCCGCCCCCGTGGTCCATTTGTGTTTCGTGTTTTTCGTTGGTTTAGTTTCGGTTCCAAGTCACTGGACCCCCCCAACGAATTTTCATCGAAAACAAGAAAATGGTCTTCCAGGATTTTCCGGTCAAATTCCCGGTGAATTGGTGGGAGGGCAGTTACTTGTGGTTTCTTTCTACACGAAACGATGGACTTTTGGAGGTCCAATTGGAAATCCCGTTTTTGAAGTCCTTGTTTCCTTTGAGGGCAACCGCAACCGGCTGATCCGGATAGAAACCTGAACAGTCTAGAAGAGAAAAGGCCACTCACCGGAAACCAGTGAGGCCTTTGCCAATGTCCTGCAGGTTTCTACCAAAAAGGGGGAGGAAGTCATTCCCCTACTGTGGATGGACGAAATCCTGCACCACCTAAGAAACCATGAAAAACCATTGTTTGTTGGTATTTACAGGGGAATCATCAGAAACCAGGATTTCTTAGGTGGTGCGAAATGGATTTCGTCCATCCACAGTATTTGCCAGAAACTCAGTTGTTCAGTGGCACCCTTTTCCCTTTCTTTTTGGTGGCTGCGCCACAAAAAATGGTCTTCCCCAAAAAGGGTTCCCTTTTTTTTCCAGGGTCACTGAACAACTGAGGAAAAGGACAACAAGCCGGCAGCCCCGAAGGCCTCAGCATGGGTCCGCTTTTGTTGAGACCTCTCCTGTCCATGGAGGTGTGAACCGATGTAGCACCATCGATTTGGTCAATAGCTCACTTCCTGAGTTCATGAACTTGAAACTTTTTGGGAAGACCATATTAAATGTAAAGTTTGGGCTTTTTGTTGGGCCATCCACTCAGCAAGTGAGACAAGAAACTATTTTTCCTCGGGCCATTCTCCAGGAAAAACCGAAATACCCACCACACCCAGGAAACCAGGGCTTCGGGCCAACTTCGAGATTTGCTGGGAGACTGGCGTGTGGTGTTTTTAGGGAACCTTCAAAGTGGTGGTTTTCCGCGCGTTTTCCCTTGAAGACCACCAACAAAAGAGGTACTACCTCAAAAACGGACGAGCCAGCCATATGGGCAACTTGGGTTGTTTTCCTGGCTAGAGGTTAAATGTGTCTCCCCTTGGGCCACCCCAAAAATGTTGGCTTTGACTTTGGCTTCCTTTTGAAACCACCACTATAAGGGGGTACCTCACTCCACAAAGCAGGACGATACCTCCTGTCCCCCTTGGCCCGAAGCCAACTGAGTAGACCACGTCTGGGGATTCGTCACAGGTGAGAACCTGCACGCGCGGTACCAGGGGGCCTTGAGCAAGCTGAGCTCCGCCACACATCGAAGCTTGCAAGAGATCTGGTGGTGGGTTTTCTGCTCTGAGTCTGTGTGGTTTGGTACCGTCTCCAAACAAATTAATAATTTACGTTTACATGGTGGTTGGGATTGGCGGTTTGGATGCACGGTTTGGATTCGGATTTGAACCCCTGGTTCTAGAGGATAGACTAGGAAGCCGACACGAACCACCAAACCACTGGGCTCCAAGCCACCAATTGGTGGAAGGCTGAATGATGATGGTAGAACAGATTTGAATCTCAGGCTTGGGGATGAGCAAACTGACGGGTTTTCCTATTGGGGGAAGCAAGGGGAGTAGTTGAGATCCCTAGGGTTCCTTTCTGGGTTGCTTGGTGTTCCCTAAAATTCCAGCAAGGGTTGCTGAAACAGCCTTTGAAAGGGAAACCAAGGTGGAATCCGGGCATTTAAGGGGATCCCATTTTTTCTTGGTCAGACATTTGCCGAATTGCAGGGATGGTTCCATCCCGGCTTTTGCCCGCACTATGATTGCCCTGCATGGGGGGGGAGTCTGGCGAGAGCTGGTACAACCAGACATTTTTCAGGAGTTTCTTCAAATCGGCGTGCCTTTTGTTGGGGGACGGGGACCCCCCCAAAAAAAAAGAAGAAACGGGTTTTCCTTTCAGTTTCCCCTCGAACACCCACCAAACATGGGGTTTCCCACCAAGAAGACCAGGTGGACCCCCGTTTGTCGTTCCAGGGGGACCAAAAGGCAACCAGCCCATGTAAGAGGCGCGATTCCCAGTCCTGCAAATTTTTCATCCTGCCACGCCCAATTTGAGCAGCCCCCTTCAAAACAGTTGCGAGTAGAAAGGCCTCTACCTGGATGTTCGATTCGCCCTCAATTAAGTGGTGATCGCCGTTTGGGTTTTCTTCACCCAATAAACAAGTGGTTAACCCCACTGAACGGGGGACGTATAAATGGGTTGAATGGGTTGTGACCAAACGGTTACCAACAACTTGCGAACTTGGCGAAGCGAGCACCCAAGTAGAAAGCTTAACCATATGGCTGTGGGTCAAAACCAATGGTACCATTTTGGGGTAGGTGAATTCACCACCCATTTTAGTCTAAAGTAGAAAGCTTTATAACCATATCGGTAGAACGCTGCTCGGTTAGGGCAAGGACAGGAACTCTGCGGTGTTCCCGGGTCGAACATGGAACATATTTTGGCGAGAATTGTTCAGGGAACACCCTTCCAACTGGTACATAGACCCCCATAGTAAGTCATGTCCCTAGTTAAACAAAATGCCAGCCTCTGCCAAGTGCTGGTATGGGCATGTTTTTGTTGGTCCCAAAACAGGCATTAGGAGGTTACTTCGCAGACCCAGTGGACAGTCATTTTGGGGCCTTGGCTATAGGCTGTCCTGGGAGAAAGGGTTTTCGAGTTGACCACAGGAGGCCCAGTTCAAGATTTCGCTCGCGCATCGGGTTTGCCGAGTCAGGATGTATAGACAAAAACTCACAAAGCGAATCGAAAGCGAATTGACCTTTTGACCTTTTCACCTTGTGGTTTTCCCCTTTTCTAGGTCTCCCAGTAGTGCCCTTTCTCACCTTTCTTGGGGGAGGGTTCCCCTACTAAAATCGACTACAGCAAAAAACTTGGGTACCCTTATTCTAACCTCTCTACTGGAGGACCTAGTTTTGGTCTTCCAGGGCAAGTGACATGAGCATCATTTGCCTTTCCCGGCTGAAGACGTCGCTCTCGGAGGTCCTCCGCCGCAGAGCTCAGTGTTTCAACAGTTTTTCAGGGAAGCCACCTGGGAAAAAGTCACCTGCTGTGGATGCACAAAATCCTGCACCCAAGAACCTCCCCTGCGTCGCCGAATTCCCTTACGTTGCCGTACAGTATCCACTTGTTTCTGATGATTCCCCAGCAAATACCAACCAAGCTGCTGGTTTCAACTTCTTCATAGGTGGTGCGGATTCCGTTTTTTTTAGCCCACCATCCCACAGTATTTCCTTCCTTTAGCCCCTCGCATGAGGGAGGGGCTCGCGGTGCCGTGTCCTTGAGGCTTCGTGGAGCGCACCAAAGAGACCAGGGGGAAGCAGGAAAAGACCGCCGCTGGGCTGCACTTGGCGTGGATGGTTGAGATCAGTTGAGATCTCCGAGGCTCACCACGGGATGTGCATTTGTTTTGGAAAGAAGAGAGGCGGCCATGGTAAGATATCCTTCACTTGGGGATCCAATTCTTAAATCAGCTTTTAGTAAGACTTGCAGATGGCGTTCTGGGTTTGGACCATTTTGGGGGCGAAAAACAAAGGTTTGGACTTTGTCTGGCCCATCTACTCAGGAAGTGAGTCGGGGAAAACCACTGGGAAGATGATGTTCCCACTAAATGGGAACAATAATTAGCGCCCATGTGTCAAAATAGGGATCTGGTACCCCCCAAAATGGGTGGCATCCTTTTGGTTGGGCTTGAAACCAACTTTGAAAAAACACTATTTGTGTGGCTGTTCGAAGGCAATCCGCAAGATTCTTACCTTGGGTTGCGAAAGGATTTGGTGCGCTTTGTAGTGGTCGTCCAACCCTCCAGTTTGAACAGGTCCTACTCCGTCCACATTGCCATGGAGCCCACTACAGAAATTGCCCGTTTTAACGGAAAATCGGCGAAACCAGGACCCCGAAACGTCAGGTTGCATGGCGACATGGACAGGCTATTTGGATCTTTCAGCTTTTCTTGGTTTTTGTTGAGGGCCCAGGGTAAACGCGAAACAGCTTCCTAACCCCAAGCAATCCAAAGCACTTGGAGGGAAGCTGACTTTGTGTTGCCCAGTGGATCCCAGCTATGGCTGTGGTGGTCAACCCATTTTGGTTGGTAGGTGAATTCACCACCCATTTTAGGTTACCTACTTTAGTGGTTGGGTTGAATCAGATGTTCACTGGGGTATGGGATTTCCCATGGCTATATAGCAGGCAGCCAGCCAAGTTCCTTTTCGAACATTTTGGTTTTGAGAGGCTGGCAAGCTCTTGGTTACCCAACCAGTACATGGATCCACTCACCAGAGGACAAACCCGATGTGTTTCCCATGCCCTCGGAAGGGACATGGAATCGCTGGGCCAAGTTTTCAGAGGTGCCGATTCCTGGGGCGCGTCGCGCCTCGCTCGCGCTGCATGCTCTGCATGCGCTGCATGCGCTGCGAGCGCGTCGCTGGAAGGTCCAGCGCTTCGAGCACACCATCCGGCGCTTTGAGCGGAAGTTGGGCAGCACCAGCCACGGGGTGCTCAAGGCAGTCGAGTGGTTTTCGTGGGGGGGGGGAAGCAGGGCGGCTGAGGGGTGTCCCTGGTTTAGTCACCTTTGGAGGGCAACACCTCTGGCCCCTATCAATAGGACGGGTCTGTCCTACGCCCAGACCACTCCGAGCATAAGGTGGTTGGACCCCCCAAAAGAGGCTTCTTGTTTCCTTTTGGTGTCCTTTTGAAAGCAGCCCATTTGGAGCAAAATTTCAGTGAGTGTCCTGTGGTGGGGTGATGTTTTAAGAGGACATATAGTGTCCCCTGTACTCAGAGTAGGGCCCTAAAATGGGTTCTTCTTAGGTCCCAATAAACAGCAACCAAAAGAGAGTTCCACAGTTTTGAGGAACTACTCATATTTATGCTGTGGATGAACAAAATCCACTACCCACCAGTTGGTACCTGGTTCATCCCAGTATTTGTAGGGTGTCATGCATCCCAACTGGCGCAGGATTCTGTCCATCCAGAGTATTTGAACCTGTCACAGTTTCACAAGTAGACCCCTATCTTTGCTTGAGCGAAGCTACGCGCTACTTGGGTGCTCGGCCAAGTTAGTAAGTGGTTAGTAACCTGGGTTATAACCTACTTACAACTGGCCCAACCCACTCATAAGCAGGTTATACCCCAGGTGGCTAACCACTTGCTAACTTCGCCGAACATCCAAGTATGAATTTATGAATCGATGTCAAATCGGTGCGACACGCAACCTCAGGTCGTGAGGCGTAGGAACCCTCGCTACTTCAGATGACTCTAGCGGAGCTTCAAGAGGCTTGGGGTCTACGTGGGCAATCAAGAAGCAGAAGACAGCGGGGTGCCCTCAAAGGAAAGTAAATCGTCCTGCAAATCATGGGGGCTGGGGGGGAGGGAGGGTAGAGCCCCTAGGAAGCCCTGAAAAGGCCTTATTTAAGGCTTATTTGGGCTCCCTCCCCTCTCCCTCCCCTCGCTCCCCCGCCCTGTGAGCAAATGAACTTGCTGGTGCTCAGTAGGGAATGAGGGACTGACCCCCAATCCAACCATCCCTTGTGGTTCCTTTAAGGAAATCCCTGCATTCATTCCCACATTCCCCGAGCACCAGCAAGTCAAATCCCTCCCATCGTCAGCTTTGATGATCGGAGAGAGGGCAGTTGCTCTACTCGATGCCTCTCAAGTAAGGCGACGCCTAGTCAACTTGAAGGCCTCGAATGATTGCCTCCTAATCTTGGGATGGCTTCGGGACATGAGGGTACCCTTTAGGGTTTCCGCACTTGAGCCCTTGACTGCTATTGGCTTGGATCTTTAGACTTTAACTTGTTGGGAAATATGAAGGTGTTTTCCACTAAACCCCTCACAAAGTTAAACACTTTTTGCAGCGGGGTCCTTCCAGCAACGGGCAGCCTCACAACAAAAAAATATTCTCAAAGAGAGGGCCTTGCGGCTCGGGCGTTTGCCCATGTGCCCATTTGACTGAAGATCAACTCGTTCCATGGAGCGCTTGTTTTTCCCCCGAAAGGTCGAGCTCTTGGAGGGGATCCATTTTCAAAGCATGGAACACCCTCCGGGAAAATGTCTACCTGGAGTCTCCATGACCCCTTAAAAATGGTGTCATGACCCCATTTTTGAAGGGTCACGGAGACTCCAGGAACCACCCCCCAGCCATCCCCAATCCCCTCACCCCATTCGAATTTCTATCAAACAAGTGAAGCAACCTATAGGATTTTTAGGACTTCAAAGGAACTTCGAAGCGCCACCTGTCAACCTGTAAAGCACCCGGGAACTTTGCTCGCAAGTGCCTGTGATCGTTGCCTGGTTTTGATCCGCTGGGTTGAAATGTCCCGAAGCCAGCCGCGAGCCGCGAGCGCGGAAGGCCAAGTTCCACCTGGCGCAGGCCTTGGCGGCCCAGGAGACTTCGGGCTTCGGGGAGGGGAGTGGGGGGGGGGTGGGGTGGGACCACCTCTTCTTGCTGTGTGGAAACGACAAGCGGAACCGGCAGAAACAGGGAGTGGCGAAAAAACAGGGGGAAGGGGGGTCAAATTGAAGGAATGGTAGGGGGGGGGGGCAAAAGAAGGAATGGGAGGGGGGGTCAAAAAACGGGGTCCCGTTGGAAGGCAAGTTGGGTTTGCCCGACTTTATTTCTGGTAAATCAAAGGGACACCTGGAAAACCCAGATGCCCAAATCCACTTTCGCAGCTCCAGGTGGCGCCGATTTGGATTCCCTGGCTCTTGCCACGAACACGGGCTTGCTAAGTGGGCTTTTCTTCGGAGGTGGTTTCCCCTTTGCTGGGTGGAAAGGGACACCAAAAGGAAAACTGCCAATGTGAGGGGGACCCCCCTCAAAAAAGAGACACACGTATAGGACATCTCCAATTTGTGTTCTTCAACAAAGAGACACCCATTTTCTGAAGCATGGCAGTTTGGGGATTTTTTCTCCCACTTGCCCAAAGCGAATCGACCTTTTGACCTTTGGCTTCCCCATTTCAATCAGTGTTAGTCAAGGTCCCAAAAGGTTCACCTGAGTAGAACATTGGTACAAGGTTCAGCTTCTCGCTTTGGGTCTGCCTTGTTTGTGGTGCCTGGTGTCTCTCTTTGAAACCACAATTCAAAGGGCTTGGTTGCAGGAAAATGTACAAAAAATGACCCCGAACACCCTGAATACGCTGTTTTCCAGTAGAATTTCTTGGAACCAACCCTTTGAACTGGTTTTCCAGATGGTTTCCCTTTAAAACCACAATTCAAAGGGCTTGGTTGCATTTCCAGTAGAATTTCCTGTAACCAACCCTTTGAACTGGTTTTCCTGTTGGTTTCCCTTTGATTCCCACAATCTCGGCCAGGGACGCGGGCATTTTTCGGACTCCCGCGGCGTCTTTTTTTTGTCTTCCAGGACCGGTCCAGCGAGGCGTTCCCGCTGTGGCGCGGGGTGTTGCAGGATCAGCTGAGGCGCGCGACCTTGACGACCCCGACTCGAGACGCCCCATGAATCTGAAGCTGGGTGTGAGGGCAATGTTGTGTGAGTGACAAAGTTTCCAGAACCATGAACAGGGAGGCGATGAAAACTAAGCGAGAATGCTTGACTGTTTAGCTTCTTGTCTCCCTCTTGAGGTACAAGGTTTAACCCGCAGACTTGATGGCTTTGATCGGGGCATGCGTTTATCTCCAAATAATTTGTCTCCAAGTAGTTCATACATAGTTTGTCTACATATAGTTTATCTCCTAGTAAGGGGGGGCCATGTGGTTTCCGTAAACAACCGACCTGTGCAACGAGTGGTGTTTTTTTTTGGGCGATTTTTTGCGAATGGACCAACCCACCGGGTTGGCCAGTTGTTCAAAGCGAGTCGACCGGATCTGACCTTTTGGTTTTCCCATTTTGGGTTCCCATATTTAGTCATGGCCCCAAAAGGTGATCACCTTTTAGTTGCAGGTTGGGCAACTGAGATAAGCCAGGTATCCCCAACAGCTCCGGAACCTCCGGATGGAACCCTCCGGAACCTTTGCCTGCGACCACCCGGAGCTGGGCAGAGACCCCCGGAACGCCTCCTGGTCTCCGGCTTGGGTCTGGTTAGGTTGCTTCATTTGCGCAAGCAGCACCGGGGCTCCTTAAAAGATCTCCATTTTGCAAGCATTTGAAACATGTTGCTTTTTCCACCAAAAATAAAGGGACAACACCATTTACAAGGCAATGTTCAGGTGTATGGTGTAAGGATCCCTGAGCAAGTTACACCTGTCCTGTTGGCAACCTGTTGGTTCATCCGTGCTGTTGGTTCATCCGTGGGGCCATGGATGTTTGGGTGAGTCTCAAAATATCCCCCCCCCCCCCCAAGATGATTTTTCCCTCTAAAGCCACCCCAAAACGGGTGTAGCCTGAAAACACCAGCCCCAAAAAGGGTACCCTAAAACCAAGGGTACCCTAAAGAAAACCACACCCATCTTCTTGAATCTCAATTCGGCCAACTCTCGGAGTGTGCGGTCACTAGGTCCCCAGTAGTGCCCTTCTCTCCCCTTTTTTGGTTGGGAGGGTTCCCCTACTAAAATAGACTGCAGAAAAAATCGGGTACCGACTTGTTCTCGCCTCTCAAATCTGGAGGACTCAAAAAGCACCAGCGCGTCATCTTTATGGCTTTCCCACCAACCTGAAAAGGGCCTCAACAAAACCAATTTCCATGACCATAGGGGCCCCCTCAACAAACCTATGTTTTCTCAGTAGTGCCCTTTTACCCTTTTTTGGGTGAAGGATCCCCTACTAAAATAGACAAAACCGAAAAAAAAAACATCGGGTACCCTTCTTCTGCCCTCTCAAATCTGGAGGACCTAGTTACACCATTTCTACTGGACCTAGGCTTCCGTTCGACTCGCAGGAGCTTGGGGCCCTTCCACCAGAGCAGCCTCGCCACGCAGCGGGAGATGCTGCAGTGGATTTATCAGGCCTAGGCCTGGAGCCCAAGACTTGCTCCGGTTTCGAGGGGCCCAACCAGTTGGTTCAACTTGAGAAGTTGGAGGGTTTTTCAGGTGGAATCGTTTGAGGTTTTTCAGGTTTTTCAGGTTTTTGGAGGTTTTTGGAGGTTTTTGGAGGTTTTGGAGGTGTTTGGAGGTGTTTCTAGTTGTTTTTCATTGTTTTTAGATCTTTTGGTTAAGTGGGGGGTTTACTTGGTAGGTGTTTAGTTGCTTTTGGCTGGTGAAAGGTGGTTGGGCTTCCGCGTTTAACCCACAAGGCTGGGCAATTCGAGAAAATGAGCATGCAGGCAGTGTTCGAGCAGTATTGTCCCGCTTTGGACCCAACAAGATTGTGTTTTTTTGGGTTTCCCTTTAGACCATTCCAACAAGGGGCACCCTCAAAAAAGACACAGATATGTAAAGAGAGAATTGGGAAACCCTTAGAGGTTTGCTCTGGCTGCTCAGGACCACCTTGCAACTGCTACGTTTGGTCCAAGGCAGCCAACTCTTCTTTGAGTGTGCCCGCTTTTCTGATCAAACCATATGAGGTTCGGTCAAAGCGAGCAACTGGGTAGTTCATGAACCATTTGGCAAGGAGAAATGGAAATCAGACGAGAAGGGGAGGAGTTCTAAATGTTCAACCAACAAGAACCAACCCAGTGGATGCCAGTTACCACTACAACTATAATAGGTAACCAGCCATTTTGCTTTGCTTTTTAGAGGGTGATTACCTCGGTTACCCACTATACCCGTAAATGGTTCCACTGAGCAAAGGACGAACACGATTTTTCTCCCATGCCCGAAGTAGAAGGCGAAGTCGTCAATCGATTTGGCCATGGTTCGCATATGGTACTAGGTGCTTTCTTGACTGCTATTGGGTTGGATCTTTAGACTTCAACTTTTTGGGAAATATTTCGGTGGTTTCCACTAAACCCCCCAAAAGTTAAACTTTGGGCAGGGGGGTCAACAACAACCAAGGTTTTTTTATCTGCAAATTCCAGCAGGCTGAAAGACCATTGCCTTTCTACCTGAGAGGCCTCCGGGAAGCAGGGGGCGGGAACGAGCAAACATTTCGGGCACGTGCAGTGGTTTCGATCTTGTGAGTTTGCTCGAAAGTATATAACTGTGGTTGTCAAAACCGTTTTGGGATCCCATTTTGGTTGGTAGGTGAATTCACCACCCATTTTAGGTTACCTATTTTAGTGGTTGGATTGAATCGGATGTTCACTGGCGGTACGGGCTTTGGGCTTTTGACCCAAAATTTAAGGGCTGGGGTTGGGCAGGTGTTGGTCCTTGTTTCCATCCCAGGGGCCCAAAAAGGTGTTCCACTTTTTGAGCCACAGCCATATGTTCTTTCCGGCCACGACTGGGTTCCTGAAAGCCGGAACTTCCCCAGTTCCTTTTGATCGGGGGGCGCTTTCTCATAATCCTTTTGATCGGTGAGTTTGGTTACCAAAGGTCACTTGTGCGTTTTTTTATCCCCCAGTGATTCCAATTGCCACCACAGTAGGTAGCCATTTGCGTCCTCTCAGTTTCACAGAATGACTTACTGGTTCTCAGCAGGGAATGAGGGAATGGCCCCTGCAACCCATCGCCTATGCTTTTCTTAAAGGGAATCCTATGGAAATCCCTAGGTTCATTCCCAGCAAGATGACTCAACCTACTCTACCGGGGCAAGGATGGGCTGGGGCTTGTTGTGTTTCCATTAGCGAAGGATGGGCGAACCCGGGTTGGGTTGTGTGTCCATTTGCATCCAGTCTCGACTGAGGTGCCGAGTTCTGCATTGATTCCGCTGATTCGCGAAGGATTTTTTGCGAGCAAGAGACAGTAATCGCTTCCCCCTAATGATAAATGGACCCTTTCAATGAGTATCGTTTTTCCCAGACGGTCTCAGACCCGATCCCCAATACTACTTTTAGAACACGCCAATTTTAGACCAATACTAAACCTTCCGCTTTCGCACCAATCCCATCACTAGTCTTAGCAGTCGGGATTCCAGCACGTTGTTCAAATTATAAGTTCATATTTGCCTTTTTCACTGGTTCTTCTCGCAGCGCTTCGTTTGCATGTTAGCTAAGTGCCTGATGCAATAAATTTCAATTCGTCGACAAGTCAGTTTGGTTTGCTCAACCATCCTTTTCCCAAGAAGACCCTTGCATTGAACACACACACACACCTATTTTGATACTGAAAGCACTCGCAAGAAGGAAAAGCTAGGCCAAAGCGCGCCAGCCGAGCTTAGGAACTTGATCAGACTTGGAGAGTTGCAAAGTCAACTCGGAGAATGCGTGAGGCACAAAGTGGACTGCTTGCCGGGTTCTTTGCTTGGCACGGTGGATAGGATCGCCAATAGCGGGTGTTTAGCATGTGTGTGTCTCTCTCTCTCTCTCTCTCGCTGTGTTTGTGTGTGTGTGTGTGTGTTTGTGCCTCTGTTATTGTCTGTGTGTCTCTCTCTCTCTCTCTCTCTCTCTTTCTTTCTCTTTCTTTTTTTCTCTTTTTGTGTCTCTGTGTGTGCGTGTGGGTTCTTTCTGTGTGTGTGTGTGTGTCTGTGTGTGTTTTCCCGGGTTTTTTGAAGGGTGTCCTTTCCTTTTGGTGTCCCTTTATAGTGACTCCACCAAGGAGAGTTACCCTCAAAGAGAAGCAGACACACACCCATTAATTAAGTGTGGACTTGTGGACAACCCTGTTTCTTCATACCCTTCTCCAAACGAGTACCCTGAAACAAAAGAGACACCCATAAAATGCAAGGGCCTAATGCTTACTCATAGTTTACCCTCTGGTCATGAGTCTAAATTTGGTGTAAAGGCACCCCAGACCCATTACTCAGTTGTTCAGTGGCACCCTTTTTCCCTTTTTTTTGGTGGCTGCCCCAGGAAAAATGGTCTTCCCCAAAAAGGGTTCCCTTTTTTTCCAGGGTCACTGAACAACTGAGATTGAGGCCCTTACATCTCTCAAATCGCCCGTGGGATCAAAGTGCTTTGCCTTTTTTAGGCCTCGCCTTGGAAGGCCTATGTCCGCGCCTACGAGGTGCTGGACAAGTGGAAGCACTGTGAGAGGCAGAATTATCTTTGGATTGGCTTTGAATCGCCCAGTTGGTGGTTCTCTTTCGTTTTTTGCGGGGGGGGGGGGTGGGGGGTGGGGGGTGGGGGGGTTGTGGGGGGGTTGCGAGGGGGGGGGGGGTGGTGTTGTGGGGGGTGGTGCTTGTTGGAGAATAAGCATCTCGTTGCATTTGCGGTGGCTGGGGTTCTCTCAACTATATAGTTGTTCTGTAGGCTTTGAAGTACACCAAGCGATTGTTTGCAAATTACTGCCAGCTTAAAGGTTTCAGGCTTTGTTGGCTCTTGACTCGGGACCGGTTGGCGATTTGCAATTGGGGAAGACATGGGGGTGTCTTTTTTAGGGGAACTCCCAAAGTGGTGGTTTTCCTATTGATGTCCCTTTAAAGTTTCCTCAAAGACTCAAAAAGACACATCCAAAGGGTTGCCACCTCAGTAGATTCGGCCTGGTCTGTGATTGTCTTTTTTGTAGGCCGGGCTGGAGGAAACCGGGTGCTGAATAACCCACATGTTTTGCTGCTTTCACAAAGGAAGTCAAAACATGTTCGTTGATAAAGCCAGCCAACTTAGCCATGTCACCTGTGGATGTAAACACCCGGCAAGATGTGTAAAGAAATGCTCCCTCGGAAAGCGGCTAAAATGGAACACGCCATCATACCACCGGGTCTTCGCTTACGCACTTGTCCGAGACGCACACTTTGTTGCATGTTGCTTGGATGTTAGGATGTTATTTGTTTTGCCAACTAGTGGGGTTTCCATTAAACCACTTAAAGTTAAACTTTTAGCAGGGGAGCAGAAAGCAACCGAGCACAAATGAAGAACATTCTCATTTACGAGTTGGGGTTCGTTTGTCCAGGGTTCCCGTTCCTTTGGCATCGGCCATCTGCAAAACCCAAACCCTCCTTTTGTACTAGTAGGGTGTCAAGGGAAACCCAAAGCTTTACGGCTCGAATCCCAGGTTTCCAACGGGGGTTCGCATCTGGCTGACAACAAAAAAGGGTTTGGGGGTCCACAGCTATGTTCAAAGAACCAATCAAGGAGAAGCTGCTAGGCTGTGGCTCATCCTTAAGGGCCCGGAGAACCGCACTTGGTCAAGCCATGTTTTTCCTCGAAATGCGTGCCCTTTTCTGGAGCCACGGCCACATTCTCAAAATGGCGAAAGCACAGAATATATACTGGTTTCCTTTTGGCTTCCATTGAAAAACACCAACCAACCCACACACAAAAAGGAAAAAACAAAACAGAAAATAAGGAAACTCAACGAAACTGAAAGAAAAAACAAAACAACAACAAGCACAATAACACTAAACAACAAAAAGAACTACAAAACACCACCCCTCATATGTCCAAACGCAACGCCAGGGACGTGGGCTCCTGCCTTGTCTACGAGAAGAACAAGTCCCGTGCCGAGAACGAGGGCTTTCCCACCGTCATGCAGGCGATGTGAGACTTGGGTTTGGGGCTGGTAACCCAAGTGGGTGTCCTGTTTTTTATCTTCTTCTTCTTAATTTTGCGGAATATCCCCTTCACTCCCTGAGTTTCGGGACTTTAAACATTTTGGGAATACCATTTTGGTGGTAAATAGACAGTTCCTGGGACTTTGTTTGGCCATCAACTCAGGAAGTGAGCCTTTTTTGGGCGGTTAAAGGGACATCAGAAGGATTCTGCCTATGTTGCGTCCAAAGTCTCATTTTGACATATCCAGAGTTCAATCGTAGGATTCAGCAAACATGCGGAAGTCTTGTCACCGTTTGTTGGACCATCTGACACTTGTACCCCTTGGGATAGACATGGCCCCTTTTTTTCCCGCGGAAGGTTTGGGCTTGCGCCTTGAGATCTGAAAGCACGGGTCATTCGTGTGTATGTATGTACATATCATGCATACATTCTGTTCCACGCAGGTAATGAACACAATTGTATTCGTCTATGCATTGCAGCCGCTGGGGCGGTAGTACTTCTCGACTCGAAGACAAATTCCGAAGATGCATTCGCCCAAGGCTCTCTGAAACAAAGCAGAAGAGCGAAGACGAATTCCCGAAGCCGAATTCCGCCCCGAAGCCGAATTCTACCCCGAAGAATTGCGAAGACGAATTCCCGAAGACGAATTCCCGCCTGAAGACGAATTGCGCAGACGCATTCGCCGGAGCCAAGCCCGCCCCCCACCGAAGCCAGCCTTACGCTATTTGCAGAAGATCTTGCGAGCGCCTTGCATGTTGGGCTCCAGAAGCTGGGGGCGAGTGGATGGACATGGGGGATTGGATGTTAGTTTTGCACGGCTTGCGTTGCGCAGAGAGCTCATGCTATTTTTGCCGAGTGTCCCAAATCGCACCGGGAAGCAACAGCTTTGATTGCCTGCGATTCTTTGCAGGGATGCACGCTTTCGATAGCTATAGCTGGCCAAGTATTGTGAAGAGAGCTCATGTGTTTTTCTGCTTAGCGTCCCAAAGCGTAGCGGGAAGCAACAGCTTTCACTGCCTGTGCCGAGCTTATGTTTATTTTTTGCTTAGTGTCCCAAAGCGTACCGGGAAGCAACAGCTTTCATTGTTTGCGCCTTTTGCAGGATAGACGCCTTGGAGACGCTGCCGCGGCAAGCATTGCGCAGAGTGCTTATGCTATTTTTTGCTTGGTGTCCCAAAGCGGACCGTCAGGGAATGCGGCGTCATAAGGCAGCGTCAGCCGAACATATCGCACCAGAGAATGCGGCGTCGGAATGCGGCATCATCCGGGGATGTGGCGTCAGAGAATGTGGCGTCGGAATGCAGCGTCAGCCGGGAATGCTGCGTCAGGGAAGAATGTGGCTCGGGGGATGCGGCGTCACAGGTTTGTGGAATGCGGCGTCAGAATGCGAAGTGGCTTTTTGCGGCCGCCCTGCATCTATGTGTGCATATTGTATACATACATATTATATATATATATATATACATGTGTGGTTGTACCATATTTTTGGCGGCTTGGGGTTTTCATTTGGGGAGATGAAGCCCGCATTTTGACAGACATACCCCTGCATCACCAGGGGCTTGCCTTCCCCCGGTCCCCTGCCCCATAACCCCCCCCCCCCCGTGTGGAATGTTTTGTCCTTAGTATTCGTATATTGCACTTAACTAAGTCTTTGAACAATGTACTCATATTGAAACATCCCAAATGAGATAAGTATTGCAAGTAGATAGATTAACATACACATACATACACATGCAAAACGTGTGCATATACATATATATATATACACATAAATAAATAAATAAATAAATATATATATATATATATATAGATATATATAAAATCAGGGCTACCTACTCAGGGCTGCCGGCTGTGGCACGTTGGTCCACAGGTGGGGAAGGACCTGGGCCTCAGCGAGCAGGAGGTGAGTGCAGTGCTGGGCTGGACCACCGGGGCGCCTCCGCCAGCCGTCGTTGGAGCGTTTATCCGGACCGGAAGGGGGCCACGGACGCACTGTGGACGGTTGCGAAATGGCAGGTCCCGGTGAAATCACCACCCATTTTAGAGCCGATTTTAGTGGTTGGATTGAATCGGATGTTCACTGGGGGTACGGGGTTTTGACCCATGGCCAAATCCATCTAACACATCGCCGTTCAGAATCCTTGGAAGGATGATTCCCCAACCTAAATACCAACAAACAATGGTTTCAACCATGGATTAAACCCTGGATTCGAATTCGATACGTAAATGCCAACAAACCTTATGGTTTTCCCATGGTTTCATTTCGTGGTGCGAAATGGATTTCGTCCATTGACAGTATGGGGTTGTCTTGGTTTATGGCCCCCCCCCCCCCCCCCCAGAATGGCAGTGTTCCGTTTGGTTTCCTTGTAAGACCAACCAAAAAAGGGGTACCCAATTCCCCTCCAGTTCTTTTGTTTTTTAAATCTATGCTTCCCCTGTTTGTGACTTTAAACGTTTCCTTTCGCTTGCCAGTTTGAAGTACCACCCACAAACAATGAGTCCCGCATGTTTGGACACGTCCATATGGGTGCGGCTGTTTTGATGATACCCCATCTTGAGGTGGTTGAGACGGAAACTAAAGGGATCGAGTTTTGACCACGGCGCACATATGGCAATGTTTTTTCAAGAGGACTACCCTCCCAAGTATATAGGGGACCCACCCAAATGGCTTGGATTCCTTTTGGTTTCCCTTGAAACCAACCCGAAAAAAACTAGCTGATTGGCTCAATTCATCTATTGGCTCAATTCATTGGCTAAACCCCAAATGGCTCAATTCATCTAGCTGATTGCTTTGCAACCCGTCCAGTCGACCAGCCGTATGCCGAGGACTATCGGCTCATCAACCCCATTGCCCGTGGCCAGGAGGAGGTCGAGCGGCTGGGCTTCATCCGAAAGAATCGGGGGCGGAGGTGCATCTGACTGGACATGTGTGTTGCTAGGTGCCTGATTCAGAAACGCCCGAGGGCTCCCTTTTTGGGGATTCTGTCTTCCAGGCTGACCGGGACCCCTGATAAACAACTGTGCCAGGACCCGGGCCGATGAAGGCTAGGAAGGGATAATCCCAACCATATGGCTTGGGTAGACCATTTTGATACCAGCTTTTGATTCTGACACACCTGTAGGACGAGCTCACCCATGAAAAGCCGCAAAAACTCGCTAAATTTTACAATCCCCCTGGTTTGGAGCTTGCCCAACTTCCTGTACAACCTCACTCGGGTTTCCATGAGAGACGCTCTCGTGTCAAGTCACGGCAATGGATTTATTTATTTTTTTTGTGGAGTGCATTTTGCTTGGATGTGAGGACTTTATTTTTTGCCAGCTAATGGGTTTTCATTAAACCACTAGAAGTCAAACTTTTAGCAGGGAAGCAGAAAGCAAACGAGTTCCTTTTTTTTTCTGGTACTCGTAAAGCTACTCTTTGGACATCCTACAGGGGTCTACAGGGGTGGATCCATGAAGCCCGCCTCCAAATCGATCTATAGACCAGGAGAGAACAGGCAGGGCCCATCAAAATTGCTCCAAACATCTCCTTCAAAAGCGTGGCATGAAAAATATGTTTCACAAATCCACTGTCCACAATTGGAATGCCGATCCTCCAGAAAATTCCCTGAGTTTGCCACCGGCGGTACGAGTCGCCAGTGGGCCAAGGGGTCTTTGCCAGGTTGCTCTGTTTGAGCCCCGTTGTCGACAGGTCTCGGGACACCAAAAAAAAGAGGGTGGCGTGTGATTGTTTGGCATGGTTTCTTGTCCAGCTCCGAAGGGATACTAATTATGACATAGGCAGCCAGAACTCTGCGATACAGGATGAATGGGGTCATGGGCTGGTGCGTGCAGTTTTCCAGTGCATGTATCTGTCTGACTGGAAGGTTTCTCCCTATGGCGAACAACCCTGGAGAAAGCCCACCCCAAATAAGTTTCAAACTGGATGGTTCGATTTCTGTTCTTACTTGAAGCAACCCCAAAAAGGGTACCTCCAAAAACGACAGAGGGAAGCAACCCCTCATTCCCACACCCTGCAAAGCTCGCCCCCCTCTCATGGTCAAACTTCGCCCTGCAAAAGTTGCCCCCAATTGTTTTGTCCTAGTCCAAAACCCAGGGTGCTGTCCAAAAGGAACGGAGGGTGCTGCAAGGTTCTCGTCAAATGCCAGGGTTTCCTGAAAAGTGGTTTCTTCCTTTTCAGTGGATCCCAAAAAAGGCAAAACTGGTTGTTTACTCCTAAAGTCGTCCTTTCGGAAGTGACTTCTTTGTCCAGAAACTCGGGAGATGGTGGCATAAACAACAGCCTTCCGAGTTGTGTGCTCAGCCAGCTTGCTTTTGTTTGACCTCCGGAAGCTTGGGCAGTCCATGGTCCAAACCTCCTTAGGTTCATGAACATGCCGGCCCCAAGAAAAGAACCAGTCTTTTGATCATACCGTGGGTGGACAAAATCAATTTGCCACTTTGCAACCATGGTTGAAGCCATTAGTTTGTCGCTGATTTTCGGGGAATCATCCTTCCAGGTTTAAAAGGTTGTGCCAAATGGATATCGTCCATCCACAGTAGACACCGAGTTGATACATGGCTGTGGGTCAAAACCAATGGTGCCGTCTTGAATTCACCGCCCATTTTAGAACCTATTTTAGTTGTTGGGTTCGGATGTTCACTGGGGGACGGGATTTTGGCTTTTGACCCATGGCCACATCCGGGCGATGTCTTAGTCCCAAGCTGGAAATCCGGGCCCTCCGCCTAGATCAGGCCCTTCAGAAAGCTCGTGAAAAACCCGAATCCGTGAGCTCTTCACCAGGGTTTTGGACCAAGAAAATTCTGAAGGGAGCCTTGACCACGGGATGGTCGCGGATCCCCCGGTATCTCCCCAAACCTGGGTATGGCAGCAAAACAGTTGGCTTTTCGTCCAGCATCCGCCAAGGAACAGAACCCACATGTAACGCGGAGAAACAAAAAAAGCTCAGCCCATTGAAGTAATAACGGCCCCTAGTCGCACAAGACATTTGGCAGATACCAAAAACCCGGTAAGGGGGGGGGGGTTGAGGAGAACCTAGCGATCCAGACTCCTCTCGGGGAACTTCCTGTAGCGACGCAGGTTCGAGGACTATCCGCAGGGCGTGAAATCCAAGTGCCGCCTGCACCGTGCGGAGGTGCTGCCTTACGTCCAGGCATGGCGCATCTTGGGGGAGTTTTGGTTGCTCTTTTTTTTGCTGGTGCCAGGTAGGGAATGAGTTGGAATGAACCCGGGCTTTGGTCCCCTTCGAGGAAACAGTTGGATTGGTTTATAAGGGTCATTCCCTCATCAATTTGCCGAGCACCAGCAGGTTTCGCACCCGAAAAAGGCGCGGCGGCTTCCTTGCTTGTTGCGGATTGCGCTGCTTGCTTGACTTAGGGTTCCTTCAAAGCCGCGGGATTCGTTTAAGGCCAAGCAAGCAAGCAAGCAAGCAAGCAAGCAAGGAAGCAAGCAAGCAAGCCAGCAATCAAGCAAGCAAGCAAGCAAGCAAGCAAGTAAGCAAGCAACAAACCACCAACCAACAACCGCACCAACCAACCAAGCTACCAATCAACCAAGCAACCAACTGCGCGCGGCTTGCTTTACTGGGGGGGGGGGAAACAAAGAGCACTTTAAGCCACCGTTTTACCATGGGCAGCTCAATGTCGTAGTTGCTTGACGTGGCTTGGCTTGGAATTGGTTGGCCTCATTGACCCGATGGTTTTTTTGCGAGCTGGGTAAGAAGAGCTCACATGACGTAGACGTCCTTACGGATCCTGACTCCTTGGGCGACCTGCGGTCAAATTTTACCAAAAAAGGGCGGAAATGCCAGGCCCTGGCTCTCTCTTTTAGCCCCAGGGAAGCCGCCCAAGAGAAGTGGGTGGTTGAGAGGCGTCCTGTGGGGTTTTTTCCTGGGAATTTCCCACGGTTCTAGAAAAACACCCTAGGGTGTTGTTTTCCTTAGGGATCCCTTAAGGTTCCTGAAGACAAAACAAAAATGTTCGGTGAACCCCTTTCTCAGACATCCCCCCGCCGCTTAGGGACGCCATAAAACACTGCTCCGAACAGGTTGGGACCACCTCTTAGGGTTCCTTAAGGATCCTTACGGACCCCCCCCCTTCAGAGAACCCCCCAAACGCTTTCGGGTTCCTTCGGGATTTTGTAGGGATTTTTTCGGGTCCCTTCGGGATTTTTTAGGGTTCCTCCCCCCTGGGGACTGGGATTCCTAGGATTAACTCTTAGGGCTCCTTAAGGTTGAGGGATTCCTAGAAACAAAGAAATGGAAAGGGAACCCCTTTCTGGGACCACCTCTTAGGGTTAAGGCTCCTTAGGGGAACCCCCCCCCATCAAACAACTCAACCCCCCCCCCCTTAACAGGTCCTGGGTAGCGCCCTGGAGAAGCTGCCGCCGGCCTCTGCCGCGCGGCTCTACCGGGGCCACCGCCGGGCGGTGGAGCTGCCGCCGGGCGCCGTGCTGAAAATGCCGCGGCCCTGGCCGGTCGCGTCTTCGCCGGTCTCAGTGAACCTGAGATGGCGATGGGTCAAAAGTTGGTAGGTGTGAAAGGGGAACCAACAGGAAAAACACAATTTTGATGGGTGCCATTTGGGTGTGGGTCAAAAAAAATCACCACCAGAGGAGCGCAGGGTTTAGTCCATGCTTCCATTTTGACCCAGATAGCGATTGGGGTGGATCTTTGGATCTTTTTGGGTGGACATCAAGGTGGTTTTCACTTGAGCCCACAGAACGTTGTTCTTTTTGGCGGAGGGTGGTTGCGGCAATCAAAGCCGGCGATCTTTTTTTAGCTTTGAGTTCCTGTACTCGCCTGGTGGTTGGAAGGGAGCTAAGGAGTGGGGGTATCCAGATTTGACAAAACAGGAGAGAGCTAAGGAGCTACCAGGAGTTCTGTAACGGCATGGTAGTAGCTGGGAGTCCGTCTCCAACCCAAAGCGATTTCATGGACGGAATATCTCCATTTAATGAGTCTGTTTCGACGGAGAGGATAGATACATAATGCATAGATGGATGGGGGAATGGATGACCAATGGACGGGTGAACGGCATGTGAGACTGTGGTGGCATGCAGGGTGTCACACTTGTCTGCTGGATGTCAACTTGTGTGGAGAGTACAATGCTCATGGTTTCCCTTGGTGGACCTGGCGAACCATGTATACGCAGACTCACGGTTTCTAGTTGTAGGGAGCGAGGTTTTGGGATGAGGGTGCCTGGGTTGACACTGTTATGTTTGACAGCTTTTAGGCGTCAAGTCAGAAAATGGGGTTGTTTCCCATTAAGCTACGGTGGATGCCTTAAATATTGCAAGTACACCAACCATGCTCAACCTCAAAACCATGGCAAATCAGAGTAGATTGCAGGGATTCCGTGTTCCCTGACTTGCAATATTTAGGGCATCCACCGTAGCACTTGGGGGGTAACTTGAGTGGCAAAATCGTTGCAGTTGGAGATTCCTAAAATAGGGGACTCGTGCTTAATCGCAGGTTTTTTGAGGCCGGATGAGACGGAGACTCAATTCTATCTATCGCTGTAAGCTGTGCTGAATCAGATTTGCTCGCAGCCTCCAGATGATGAAACATTCTGGAACAATCTTTCGGAGGGTTTCCGTGCATATGATGCACCATCCTGAAATAGGATCGGTGAAGGGTTTTCTTACATCATGACATGTTTTCTGGAATAAGAATGGTGAAGGATTTTCCTTAAACATTACCTACCCAGAGGCTCCAATTCGATTGATTTAGGGCCTGCAATCAACCTGGTTTGGAGACCGGGTCCCAACCACCGATTCCCGGTGTCTAATGCTTCGGGGTCGGGTCTTCCATGGAAAGTTTTAGGAGCTGGGAAGGGAAAATCTTGCGGCCACGGCACACCCCCAGGAGACAAACCCCCCACACTCCACCTAACTGCCAGGAGCCTCTGGGCAGAACAAAAAAAACACCAACCCAAACCACCTAAACCTTACCTGACACCAGGCAGTGAGCCCCACCCAAATGACCTAGATTTTTTTTTGTACCCATTTCTCATACCAACTGGCCAGCGGCAAATCGGTCGAGTGAGTGGCGCTGGCAGGCCGGGCTTCACGAGCGTGTCCTACGACATGGACAGCGCCCTGCAGTTTGCGACGCAGGCCGAGACGGAAATGATTTGCCATGAGATTTAGTGGTTGGAACCCTCTGGACGTCCAAACATATGAACGAGATTTTCGGGTAGACCAAATGGGAGTGTGTCTTTTTTTGTTTTTTGTTGGGGGGGGGAGGGGAAATGGTTGGCCATGAAATTTAATGGTTGGACCTGGTTGGTGGACATTGGACCTCCAAAAATATGAACGATATTTTCGGGTAGTCCAAATGGGAGTGTGTCTTCTTTTGTGTTTTTTGTTGGGGGGAGGGGAAATGGTTGGCCATGAAATTTAATGGTTGGACCCTGCTTGAAAGTGGTTGGTGGACATAAAACGCCTCCAAAAATATGAACAATATTTTCGGGTAGTCCAAATGGGAGTGTGTCTTTTTTGTTTTTTGTTGGGGGGGGAGGGGAAATGGTTGGCCATGAAATTTTATGGTTGGTCCCCGCTGGAAAGTGGTTGGTGGACATAAAACCCACCTAAACGATGTCCACCAAGGGTCCCTGATGAGAATTCAGGCCCAAATCTCGTCCAAAAATAGAATCAATATTTTAGGGTCCACAAACTGGGGCGTTGTTTTTTGGGGGAGGGGGGTAGCCCTTTTTTGATTGGTTTCAAAGGGAACACGACTTTGGGGTTCCCCTATTTTGAGACAACCAGAGAAGGAAGCAGAACACGTACTATGCACTTCAGATTTGGGCCAAGGAGATGGTGACGCAGGGACCAGCCGTTTTTTGACCGGAGAGACAGGGTTGGACTTGTCTTACCCAAAAGGGGGGCAAGCTAGCCCAATCAAAGGGCACCAAACCTCTTTCAGGCCCCTTTGGACTCAGTTGTACAGTGGCACCCTTTTTCCCAGTTTTTTCTGGTGGCTGCCCCAGGAAAAATGGTCTTCCCCAAAAAGGGTTCCCTTTTTTTCCATTGTCACTGAACAACTGAATGGAAGTGCGCTTTGAATTCGGCTGCAACCATCTCCAAGCGGCGAGCAGAAAGGCATCGAGCATCTTTCGATCGGAACCCTTCTAAGAAGGCAAGAACCTTTCCTGGCAGTGGGGGGGGGTCCTTCTGTTTCCGGCTTACGATCACCACATGAGTGACAGTCACAATCAAAACTTCTACAATAGTATAAGTGAAGGTTAGCAAGGGACAGTGCCAGCCAAAAATAGTTGCGGCCGCCCTTAAAGCCTGTACGTCGGTTTGTGTAGGCCCTAGCCTAGTACCAGGTGCGTGGACAATTTTCCTTGTCAAGGGATCAGTGTCTACGCAAGGCGGGTAGGGAAATTGAAATCCGCTGATAGAAGGTAGGGAGCCCCCTACAGGTTCAACTAAGCATGGTAGTTGTTGGGAAACATTTTTCATTTTTGCTCATTGTGGTTTAGTGGGAAATCCCCACTTAACTGCTAAAAAACATTGCTTTTTGCTCCCCAAGCCCAACGTCAACAGCAAGTAAACCAGGCAAGCCCTACAGTGCAGCCAGTTAGAGATTCCCGGGCTTGAAGTTTGGCCGTTGAAGGGTGGTGTCCTTGGCTTCCTCGACAGGTAATGTTGACCACGCATTGACAAACCCCGTCCCATTCATAGACAGGTGTCCATGTGAATGTCGTGGGAGTTCATCGCTTTTGGAGGGAACCGAACCCCCCCCCAATTAATAGGCTGGGATAAATCCAGGGTCAGCATGAAACGGATCCACTGGGTGTGTAGGGAGGCAGAAGGAAGCGCCCGCCTCGATTGGATAGTATTGCGAAGTCCCTCAACAGTCAGGCGGCCAAACAAGGCCTGAGCATCTGGTTTGCGAAGTCGAGTTGCCCGGGTGGCAAGCAGTGCATTGTCTTTGAGGTGCCTTGTTTCGGGTAGGATTATACTTCACCACCCCATGTTCAAGAGGTCAGCGCTCGAACAGTCACAGGCAGGGTTCCACTTTTGGCTACCCCAGGATAGACCTAAACTTTTACTCCCGGGGGTTCTCCTTTTGGGGGGAATGAAGCACCCCTAGGGAAAGTCTACCCTGGGGTAGTCAAAAAGTAGAACCCTGGTCACGGGTTTTGGGGAATGCACCAAGGGATCTTAGGGCCACTATCTGCGTTTTTCCGGGCGGCCCTAAGCCTTCCGAAGCCGCGAGGCCAATCAAGGAAGGCACGGTGGCTGGCGGACCTTGTTTTCTCCAGTGGATTCATTGGCTCTGGACCCAAATGGATTTCCCCCCCCACGAGAAAAACAAAAAGTTAGACAGGCTATGCCTCTATCTTATGCATGGGGGTAGATCTATACTCACAAGAATGGTTTTGCATTTTAAAATTCTTTTTCTAGCAGGGTCACCGGGTGGGATGCTGATGTTGTCGAGCTGGCCATCTGCCCCATGAGGACGCTCTTTAAGGGTGGTGCAAAGCGTCACCTTCAAAATGGGGGCTCCTTAAGGGGACTGTTGAAGTTGCCAATTTTGGCCAAGTCCACATGGGTATGGTGTGTAATGTGTGTAGAAATATATATATATATATACATATTTCTATGTATGCATATATGTGCGTGCAGATGCTGCAGAGATCGGCTCTGGGTGGTTTGGGTAGCTTTCAGGGAGGGTTCTGGAGATATCGCCTGGGCTTATTTCAATAATCAAGGTACCCTTCTTGGAATGATGTTAAAGGGAAACCCAACGGAGACCACCCTTACTTCCCTCACAAGAGAAGTCCATGTGTTTAACTGGCGGTTTCCTTTTCGATTTGCCTCGCCACCCAAACACACCGGCAGGGAATGGTCCACATTTTGGCTTTGAGTCGTAGGAGGCGTTGGGATCCTTGCTTCTCTTTGGAGAGTTCCGTTGATGAACCAGCCATCAGGTACTTTTCAATTGGCGATTTGGATTGCTGGTGCGAATTGGCCTTCTGGTTCTGGAGTAAACCTCCCTATCCGCCAAACCACCCGGCTCCAAACCACCAATTAGAGGGAAGCGGCTTCTGTTCCAAGGCCAAAGGTCTGGGTTTGGTGGTTTGCCCTGCTGGAAAGTGAGCCTCACGTGTTGGTGGGAGGGTAAATTGCCATGCTAGTAGCAACCTTTAAAATGTGACCCTCAAGTACATGATGTTTGTGAAAGGGTCCCCCATGTAAATTCGTTTTGCGCAATTTTGGGTAGTGCTAGTAATGGTTTAAGCAACAACAAGCACGTCAGGACTGACTTTTTCGGAGGGGGAGCTTCAGCGTTTGACCCGGACACGCGTTGGTTTTCCCTTATGAGGCTGAAGCCATAGCCACAGACCAACCGGCGCACGCGCCGCGCGCTTCGGGTCGCTCGCAGGTCCGTGAAGCGAAGTCTGCTGGTGTTCCAGGAGAGCCATGGTTCGAGAGCCGATCCAAGAATGCGGGAATTTGTTTGGACAAGATCATAATAAAAATGTTTTTTTTTGAACACCAATCAATGCATATATATATATACATATATATTTCTATGTATATTTTATTTGTTTGGAAAACAAGCAAATAAGAAGTCACTTGGGTATGGGTCAACATTAAACTACCAGGGGACCACAGGTTTTAGTCTTTGGTTCCATTTACCAGGGTTCCGGTTCCATTTTGGGTACGCATTTTTGACCCACAGCCATATGGGTATATGTCTTTTGGACCCCCCCAAAAAAAGAAAAGAAAGAAGAAACAGTGTGTTTTCCCTTTGGTTCCCCTTTTGAACAGCAATATTGCCTGAGTTTTTGTTGCAGTTTGTGCTACACGTCTTTGAGTCTACCGGACCCTGTTTTCAGTTTTTGATCCAGGCTTGGAAAGAGCTTGGTAGGTCTACTCGTGGCAATGGGGAGATTCTAGGTAGGCAAAGAAGCTTGAACAACTGGCCTTATTGAAGAGCTTGCGGCAACATTGCCCGTGGCGAAAGCAGCGACGTCTTCATCCCGAGGACCACGTTCTTCGAGCAGATTTGCTGACAGCACAGTTTCTGGAGGCTGCTCGTGCGCGCTGGCCAAGTCGGTTTCAGCTGCTGCCAATCCCGAGCTCGAAGTGCCTCAGTGCCTCCAGCCTCGTTGAGACGAGCCAAGGATGGTAGCTTGCGAATCTTGCAGGTAGCTGCAGGTGCAAAGCCTGAACTATGCCCGTTTTTGGTTAAAGGGGATGACCTGGGGTGTACTCCCAAAATAAAGCGGTGGGAAATTGGGGGCTACTTGCCAAATTCCCACGTCAAAGGAGGGGAGCCTGGCTCACCTGAATAGGGTCTCCTCCAAAAAATATGGTTTAGACATCTCCAGAGAAAAAAACAACTCTCCTTCAAAAATATGTTTTAGACAGCTCCAAAGAAACATGTTTTTGTTGTTTTTCTTTTTTCTTTTTTTTTTTTCTTTCGGGGGTAGGCTCCGAAACCAAAAGGCTGGCCTTGACGTCCCTTTGTTCTTTTGGGTCTCCTCCAAAAGATGCCACATTTAGAGCTCCTCCAAAAGCAGTCCTTTTGTTTGCCTTACATTTCGTTCTCACTGGGTCTCGTACAAGATGACATATGGCTGTGGCTCAACAACATGTACCAAAATGGCACCTTGGTAAATGAAAACAAAGAACTAAAACCTGCGTAACCCCAGTTGGGTGATTTTTACCCAAAGCCATATGTAACACTGTTTGCAGGTCTGGTCCAGCAGGGTCCCCAAGAGGAGTTCTCCCTGTAGGATTTTGGATTCGGAAGCTGCTTAGGGACTCAGTTGTTCAGTGGCACCAATTTTGTTTCCCCTTTTTTTTGGTGGCTGCCCCACGAAAATGGTCTTCCCCAAAAAGGGTTCCCCTTTTTTCCAGGGTCACTGAACAACTGAGGGGAGGTACCTTCTGCACGGAAACTTGCGATCTCGGGAAATCTCATGAGCTTGATGGTGGGCTTTTACCAAAGTCCTTGCTTCAGGTTCTGTTCGGAAGGAACCCCGTTTTTGGAGTGTCCTTTTTGGGGGAAGCTCTCGGTCCCAATTTGGTCTTATTTGGTCCCATTTGAACCTACCGGTCCCCCAAAAATGCTCAACCCAACCCGATTGGCTTTATGCCCCATGTGGTTCCACTGGTTTATTTTGCTTTCATGCCACATTTAGCATGGACACCCCGCGATTTGTCCAAAAGGTTCCCTACTGGGTGGCCGCGTGACTTACAAGTAACTTATGACGTCACTTGCAAGTTCAATACGCGACTTGTAAGTGGGGCAAGTACAGTCTAACTACGGTAAGTTCGGGAGAAACTTACAAGTCACTTATAGCTAATATAGTTAGGAACTAGTTAGCAGTTTAAACATGCACAAGTAGTATTTTGGAAGAGTCTATTTTTGCAAGCCAGCGCGAATAGCTTGAATAGCTGCTCCTCCAAGCATCACACGCCTAGGAGCGGAAAACCGCTGCTTTTGTTGATCTTCTGGAAAGGTGTACTGCGCGCCGGCGTCGCTTTTAGTCAAGTGCGTAGAAGGACATACTTGGGCACTTGTGGTTTGCCCGGAGACTCTCTTCGGAGGGTCTCACGCGCTCAGATTCCCTCGCGCCTGCCAGCATTTTAGCACCCGCGCCTGATATCGAACGGTCTGCCCTGAGAACATCGACAAGCCTTCGCCGATGCGCGCAACTGCGCAGGGTGCGGCTTTTCGATGGGTTGCTATGAACATGTTTTTGGACTACCTAGGCGCAGCCAGAGCTTAGAAAATGAGAACTGAATCTCTCCACACCCTAAAGTGAGTGTTTGAGGGCAAGTAAACCCTAAAGGAGGGGCTTGTGGGCAATCTAAACCCTAAACCTGAACCCTACACCTGCACCCTAAAGTGAAGGTTTGAGGTCAAGTTAACCCCCAAGACTAAACCCTAAACGGGTGGTTTGAGGGCAAGAAAACTTGTAAACCGGAACCCTAAACCTGAACTCTAAACCTGAACCCTAAGCTGAACCCCAAAACTAAACCCTAAACGGTTTGTTTGCACCCTAGACGGGGGGGTTGAGGGCAAGTTAAACCCTCAACCTGAAAACTTGAACTCTAAAGTGGAGGTTTGAGGGCAAGTGAAACCCAAAACTAATTTTACACGGGGGGTTTGAGGGCAAGTTAAGCCCTAAACCTGAACCGCAAATGAGGGCAGGTGAAACCAAAAGCCTGACCCCTAAAGTGAGGGTTTGGGGGTGTGGGCAAGTTAAGCCCAAAACTAAACCCTAAACGGGTGGTTTGAACCCTAGGTGGGGGGGTTGAGGGCAAGTTAAACCCTCAACCTGAAAGCCCGAACTCTAAAGTGGAGGTTTGAGGGCAAGTGAAACCCAGAACTAATTTTACACGGGGGGTTGGAGGGCAAGTTAAACCCTAAACCTGAACCCTACACGGGGCAAGTTAAGCCAAAGGCTGGAAGAGGACCAGAAAGTGCAACCAAGTGGTTCTGGGCGAGCCACACGTGCTGCAGATTTTGCCAGGTGTCCATTTCACATTTCAGAGCCAATTTGCATTTCCATTCCTTTGCACCTCGCATTGAGCCATGGGTGCTATTTGATGGATTCATCCATGCCGGCGAGAAGGCGCCCTCCGGCAAAAGGCACATGTGTGCGCAGACGTTTGTCAAGAGTACCCAAATGCAAAAAAATGCGCGTGTAGCGGCGGCGCCGGTCAGCGCAGGGCGCAGCGGCTGCACCGCTCTGTGGTGACTGTCTATAGCAGCTGTGCATCCGCAGCCGCTCCTGCATCCGTCTGATTTGGCCCCCGCCGCTCAATCAGAGACGAACTTACATAATGTGCCTCGAACAGGCAGCTGCCGCAGTCTCTTCTTCATAGGTTGCCCAAGTTCCCCGAACCCCTGCCTTTCACGCGCTTTCAGCGGCTAGGTCTGGGCGCCAGTTCTCCGCTACTCCACATCCCGGCCTGCAGCTTCAGCCCGGCCTGCAGCGTCAGCTGCCGGGTCCGGTTCTGCAACTCCGCAGGTGGTTGCTCAGACTTCGCGTGACAGCGCAGCGGCCCCGAAGTAGCACGTGCGGAATTTGGACAGCCGGCGTGTGGCTTGCAAATCAGCGCGGGTGGACGTGGAAGAACAGCCGCAGATGGCCTCCACAAAGGCAGAGACTTGGCAAGTGATCTCACACGGGCAGAGGTGGAGGAAATCCAACAAGATGTCTGAGTGCTGCGACATGGCTGAAGGTGAGCTCGCCACCCGCAGGGCGGACAACCAAAGGGTCAGCAATCGGCGCCTTGGCTGTGTTCAGCACGTTTCGCTGTACTGTTCACGCGTCGCATCGTTCCCTGCAACTCCCGGGACTGCAGCTTCAGCTGCCAGCCTGCAACTCCAAGGTCTGCAGTTTGAAGCTGCCAACTCACGCGTGAGACAGTGCCCGGGATGGACACAAACTGCGGCGCAGCCGCTCCCGGAGTCGCGCACCTGCTAACACATTTTTTAAATCTGTTCTGTTATGTGCGAAGGCTAAGTGTGCGCTTGCCATCTTTCTTTCTCCATTCTCCACATATATGGCAGTGAATTTTTTTGAGGGGTCTGTAACAGAGCCGCGGCGGACATTCGTTACAGACCTCGTTACAGACCTCTGTAACAAAACCAGCTGGCTCGTTACACACCCCTCGTTACACACCCCTCGTTACACACCCCTCGTTACACACCCTCGTTACACGCCCTCGTTACACACCTCAGAATATTATATATATAAATATATTTTTACGAACGAAACCGTGTTTCACGCCTCAGCTAAGCGATGGCGCCGCTTTGCTCAGACACAGCCTGACCCTTGTGCCGCTAAAAGGGGCTGGCTGAAAAAAACACATTTTTGCAGATTACGGAACTTAGAAAGTACTTAGCAACAAGTTATGTACAACTCGCTTCTGAGCAGCATCCCGAACTTTCTATAGTTAGAAGTACATTATAAGTATAAGCAAGGTGGCCACCCAGTATGGAGGCTTCCCTTCGCCCCCGAAATCATTTCGTGTCTCTTGGAGTGGCTTTGGTTTTCTTTTTTCTTTCCCGCTAAACCACAAACAAGGGGTACTCCAAAAAGACGACCCGCTACAACGAGACGGTTCCCTTCCCCTCCCTCCCCCCCGCGCGCGATCGACGCCATCGACGGCCAGCGGGGCGATAGCGGAGGAGTCTTTCAGCGGGCGGTGCATCAGTAAGCTCAGCGCGCGGAAGCGGGAGGTGGAGGTGTTGTTCCCGGTGGACAGCTGCTTTGAGGTGGGGGCGTGGGGTGGTTTCGGGGTGGTTTCTAGAAGGAAGCCTTCACTTGTCGGGGGACAGGAAGCAACCTTCCGAAATGTTGCTCCACCTTTGTTCGAAGATCACCGGGGCACCAAAAAGGGGAACCCTAAAAAAACACAAACAAATCTCCTAGAGACCCACCACACCTCCCCCCTTCCCCCTGGGCCAGCCGTTTGCCGCTTCCACGGGCGCAGGTGGCCGCGGCCGCGGCCGCCGCGGACGCGGATGCCGCCGCGGAGGCGGAGAAGGCGGCGGAGGAGCTGAGGAAGACCATGCCGGAGGCGTCGCTTAGGGCGCTTGGTAGGGTGGGTCAGTAGACCTTTGTCGGCCCAGAAAAGGAACGACGAGGGGTACTTGGATGCTGGGCCAAGTTAGTATGTGGTTAGTAACCTGGGGCATAACCTACTTGCAACTGTTGGGCGGGTTCAAAGACCAGGGCGAACCCCCTACAAGGGCAAAGTGATTCGCAGTTTCTGCTTTCCCTGCGGCTCGAAGACTTCTTGTCGGGCGCAAGCTGTGTTGCTGGGCCAAGTTAGTGTGTGGTTAGCAACCTGGCAACCGCTCATAACTAGGTTGTTCCCCAAGTGGCCAGCCACTTACCGCCTTGGCAAGCACCCAAGTAGGGGGGGTTGGTGGCTCCCACCGTCCGGTTCCTGAGTGTTTCTTGGGTTTTTAGCGGGGGTTGGGTTTCCAATGCGTTCCATCGCATGCTTAACTTTGAGCCACTTTAAACATAGCACCCTTATCCAAGGATGCAAATTTGAGCCTGTTGAACCAACAAATCACCGCAAATGCAAACTGGTTTAGAGGTTCCTCTTGTAAAGCAGGTGTTTTTAGATGAGCTCATTCCGTTGCCAACCTTTTTCCTCCAGGTCCTGTTGCCAGAAAGTTCAACAACGTTTCTCCTCCAACCCACATTGCCATGGGTTCCCACCCCCGGTCCCTTGTATAATGGGAAACCATCGTTCAGTTGATAATGTTGACCCTGATTAAACAGGTCAGGGAAACCCCCAAAATAAGAACTGGGCAGGGGGGGGGGGCGGTTTGTTAATCAGGAATCGAGATTACGGGGTGTCCTTGTTTGGGATTCTTCACTAGGGAGGTCCGGACTTCAGCCAAGTTGGGTTTGTGGGCTTTGGCGTCAAACAACACACGGCCCGGGTGTTCCTCGGTCCCTTTGTGTCAAGGCCGTTTATGTCAAGGGCGTGAAAAGGCGAGAATTGCAGCAGAATCCTTGTCTAAACGTGATCCCTATGGATCAATCAAAGGGTTGTTTACCGGTAAACACAGCTACCCTCAAACAACCTCCAAAATGGTGGTGCTCCTTTTGGTTTCAGTTAAAACCACAAACAAAACATATAATTGCCCTCAGAAAAGGGCACACCCAGATGTTTCTGTCCTTTTGGCAAGACTAATTCTATTTGAGCCACCTTCACGGCGATGACCCGTTTGGGTGAGGTACGGCTGCGGTTTTGCAATTAATAGAGAACTCACAACGCAGATATACGCAGATAGTTTTTCTGCAGTGCTTTGGATCCATGCCGTCTTTTTCACAAGCTTAGTTTGCTTCACCCCCCACCCCACCACCCCACCAAAATCAAAGGAAGAAAGAGTAAGTGTATGGGTATTCCTTTTGATTTCCCTTCAAACCAAGAAGAAAAACCGCAGACCCAACTCCTGTTAGTTTCCTTTTGGTTCCGTTTGGTACCCCTCCGTCGCTCCACGAGCCCCAAATCCCCCCCCCCCCCTGCCGGTTTCATGGGTTGGACCTATGACCTTCACATTTTTTCGGTCGAGGCGGAGGTGAAGGTTGTGTACCTGCGACAGGTTGAGAGCAAGGAGAGGGAGTAGGAAAGCTTCTGAGCTGGTGTTTTTTGGGTGTTTTTTTCTGTCTTTTGTTTTTCTTCTGAAGACAATACATTTACGGTGGGCTGGTACACATGAAATGTACATATTCGCGCGTTCTTGCTTGGTTCTATTGTTGTTCTTGTTTCATCATGTGAGCGCCGCAATGAAAAACGCCTCCTTAGATCCGGGTGTGTCCTTACTGCAGCCTCCTGAGGCCCCCCCCCCCCCCGCCAAAAAGGGTGTGGCAAGGGGACATTTGGGTGACGTATCCTGCACCGCCATTCTGAAACCCTGGAATGAGTTGATGCCCTCTGCAAATACCCTCCCACCAACTAACATGAAACTGATGTTCGGGGTGGTCCTGGTTTGGACCACCTTCCTTGTTTGGCACCGGGTCCCATAAAAGATGAGAAAAGGGCGGGAGGGTACCTACTTTCCCATGGTTTCAATCTGGTGTGGTGCCGGATTTCGCAGCCATCCGCAGCATGAAGGCAACCAATCTTGTGGGAGCTCGGACTATGGGGGTGTACTTTTTAAGGGTACCCTTTTGTGGGTCTAACAGGAGCCCGGAAGGAACATCACGCTTTTGGCGGGTCCCCCTATTCTGACATGACACATGCCCAAACATAAACGTGTGCTAGCTCTTCTATGATACAACTCTAGATAATTCTACAACTAATGCTTCTAAAATTGAAGTACAAAAAAAACTAAATTAATTAGTTTTATTAATACAATTAAATCACCTGTCACTGTGGTCAGTATGAGCATCAGGCTTTTTGTTGCAGCGGTTGTTCGCTGCGTGACGGAGTTGTCATAGCCCAAAGAGTCCAATCACCTTCTCAGCAAGCGCAGGGTGGCCCCTTTTCTTTGACTATTCTCAGTTGTTCAGTGGTTTTTTCCCCTTTTTTGGGGGGCTGCCCTACTAAAAATGGTCCAAGCCCCAAAAAGGGTTCCCTTTTTTTTCCAGGGTCACTGTTCAACTGCGTATTTGAATGAAACAAACTGTGAGGGGTGGCAGTGGTTCTTGTTAGACTACTGGAAAGTATCGGCCCGTCGTCCCGTTGGGAGGTGTGCCAACCGCAGGCAACGGAGCCTAAGAGTCACACGAGAGGCCCACCAGACTACTCCTCAGTGATGGATGGAGGGAGGTATCCAGCGGTAAAGTGTTGACGTGAGGTGCGCGAGTCGAGGGGAGTGGAGGGGAGTGGAGAGGAGCTGAGGGGAGGAGTGGAGGGGGCCATGGGATCATTTGTCACACTGTATATATATATATATACATATAATTATATCTATAGCAGGGAGAGTTCTGCAAATTTTGATAGAACCATATTGCAGAAAGGACTGTCATGGGCATGAACAACTTGGTGTTGGGCTACCACTTTCTCTGTTGGGAATTCCTTCAAAGTGGGAAAAGTAGTCGTGGGAATCAACCATTATCTTTTCACACGGGTATTTTTTTGGTTAGGAGGACGCTGTGATCCTCGAGTAGCTGGCTGCAACTCCTTTGATCCAGGCGGGCGAGATGCTTTTGAGTCACATCCTTTTCTGGGCTTCGGCCATCCGCAGGGCCCCTTAAAAGATACATGTTTTTTCAACACCAAAATAAATTGGGAAACCACCATTTGCAAGGCAATGTTCAGGTGTTAGGTTTTTCGGGGTGTTGGGTGTAGTGGTAGTGTCCATTTATCCCGCCATTTATGTTTTTTTGGCTGGGGATGTGAGGGCAGCCCAGTTTTGAGTTTCAAGGCATCCATGTTGGCAACCCGCGGCTCATATAGCAAAGCTGTGAAACCAGGTGCTCCATTGGTTGCGGGTCAGTTTCGTCTGTTTTTGGTGTTCCATGTAGACCAAGGGGCAGCACATACCCCAAACCACCTTCTTTTTTGCGTGACCTCCCCTGAGGCTTCATTCCTCGATGGTTGGAGCCGCCACGAAGCAACAGCTTTGCCACCGACGAAAATGTGGATGGAACTTTGCAGCATGGGTGGCTCGTCTCTTTTAAATGGCACCCACCAAACTTGGTGGCTCCCAGCCATCCCCGTAAGCCTTTTAGCTTTTTAGTGTTTAGTGGTAGTTGGACCACGGCGCATATTCCGCCTAGTGTCCATGTCCATGTAACCCAACAGTTAAACTTTTAGCGGGGGATGGGTACCAACGCCAAACAGACGAGCCATCTGCGGCTTGGATGACAGTTACGCCCCGAGCCGTTTTTTGGAGCCTCAAAGGGCTCGTTTTTGCAGAGTTGCTTGAACAGAGCTCCTTAAAAGATACATTTTGCCCGTTTGAAACATGGCTTTTTCCACAAAAAACAATAAAAACAATTTACAAGGCAATGTTCAGGTGTACAATGTAAGGATCCCTGCTGAAATGCAAAGTCTTTGAGCGGCCCCAGTTTCCTTTGCCAGGCTAGGACACGCGGAGATCGCGGCTTACGTGACCGACAAGGAACCAGACGAAGGCCGACAGCCGGCCGCCGGGTTGACCGCCAGCGACGGGCGAATGCAGTGACGACGCGGCGGTGTTGCTTTTCTCACGGGGAGTACGGAGAAAAAGGGGTGCGGTGGGTGGCGTGTGGGCACAAGAAGATGGTCTTTTGGGGGGCTGGGGGTTGGGGGTAGGGAGATCAGGTCCTTGGTGGGGGTAATTAGGGGGTTGGGGGTGGGGTGGGGTGCGGTCTGGCGGGAGCCAGCAACGATGGCTGAACGGCTGCGGGGGTTCTTGGGAAGGACTTCAGCGAATTTGGAGTTTAGCGACCAGAGCAGGATACGCAGAACATTGAGGTGTTTGCAGCAATATGACTTCACTTAGAGCATGGTTGCAGAAATAGATTTTTTGCAAACCATGGACGAAATCCTGCACCACTTTGAAACCATGGGAAGCCATTGTGCGCCCCGTATTTGCAGGGGAATCATGGTGCGCGATTTCGTCGACAATTCACTGAAAAGAAAGGAAGCAAACAGATAGCGTATCTTTGCAACGGGGGGAGTATGGGTCTGCCTTCATTGACTTCATTTGTATTGTGTTGTGCGTGTGTGCGTCTAAAAAACAATTGCATGCAACAAGATTGGATCTATGTCCGCGTGTGATACCATTCCCAAGAGCACATGGTTAATCTATTTACATTGTGTGTGTAGTGAAGCTTCAGAGCAAGAGGTGTTTTCCGGCCTTTCCAGTCAATTCGCTGCGGTTGTGTGGGTCATTGGTTCTGAGGGGCACTACAAGACACAATTTTCATGTAGTAAGATTTTCCACACAAAAGCAGTTTGCCCGGGTGGTGGTGTTGGTGTCACTTGGCCGGTCGGTCGCCGTTCATTACCTGTATCTTGTCGCCCGCTGTGTGGATCCAAACCGCGAAAGGGTTCCCTGCGCTTGCAGGCTCATGGATTGGCGCATCATGGATCACGAACTGTGAATGGACACGAGGGTGTGAGGAACATATTTGGGTGTGCAAAGGTGGAAGCTCAGAAATGGAAGGTTTTCCTTCTGATCTCGCTTTGAACTAATTATCCCCAAAACGGGTACCTTCCCACCCCCCGCCGCCTATCGTATGAGTTGATCCTTGTTCTTGTCTCGGGAACGCTTCAGATATCCAACATCTCTACTGACTGCCAGCGACTGCTGTGACAGGTTTCTCCAGCATTGGGCATGCGTGTGTGAGAATTGTGTCAGCAAACGTCTGTGATAGGGCCCTCCGGTGGACATCCCAACCACCTGTGAGTTGCCCTCTTAAGGGACATTGCTGCTTTGCACTAAATGCAAGAAACAGTATCTTTCTCTCGGCGAGCTGCCACACCTTGGCAAGACCTCTACCAAGGCCGAGCCACGCTCAAAATTGAGAAGCTTCACACTAGTAGTTGTTTCGTATATTTCCCAGGCTCCCTTAGCACCTTCTGTGTTTTTTTTTCTCCGTTTTTTCTCTATTTCTTTGTCAGGCCCAGACACCACCCACAGACACCCCAGCACTTCCCCACCCAACCCCGTGCTCTCGGCGGCCGCGGCTTGTTCGCCTCCCGCATGGCGGACAGCCGCGTGGCGAGAAGCTGCGCGGCAAAGGCAGCAGGACGGGTGGGGTTCGTCGGTCGCCCGACCTCCGTCAGGTTCAACACGCTGAGTGAGGGTTGGGCTCTAAATGCTGAGGGGGGCGGGAATCCCAGAACGGTGTTCTTATGTTTATGGAAACAAACAAACAAGTAAAGAAACAAAACAAACAAAAACCAACCAACCAACCAGCCAGCCAGCCAGCCAGCCAGCCAGCCAGCCAGCCAGCCAGCCACCCAACCAACCAACCAACCAACCAACCAACCAACCAACCAACCAACCAACCAACCAACCAACCAACCAACCAACCAAACAACCAACCAACCAACCAACCAACCAACCAACCAACCAACCAACCAACCAACCAACCAACCAACCAACCAACCAACCAACCAACCAACCAACCAACCAACCAACCAACCAACCAACCAACCAACCAACCAACCAACCAACCAACCAACCAACCAACCAACCAACCAACCAACCAACCAACCAACCAACCAACCAACCAACCAACCAACCAACACACAGACAAGCAAGCAAACCAGCAAACAATCAATCAAAGAAGCAAGCAAGCAAGCAAGCAAGCAAGCAAGCAAGCAAGCAAGCAAGCAAGCAAGCAAGCAAGCAAGCAAGCAAGGAAGCAAGGAAGCAAGGAAGCAAGGAAGCAAGGAAGCAAGGAAGCAAGGAAGCAAGCAAGAAAGCAAGGAAGCAAGGAAGCAAGGAAGCAAGGAAGCAAGGAAGCAAGGAAGCAAGGAAGCAAGGAAGGAAGCAAGCAAGGAAGGAAGCAAGCAAGGAAGCAAGGAAGCAAGGAAGCAAGGAAGCAAGGAAGCAAGGAAGCAAGGAAGCAAGGAAGCAAGGAAGCAAGGAAGCAAGGAAGCAAGGAAGCAAGGAAGCAAGGAAGCAAGGAAGCAAGGAAGCAAGGAAGCAAGGACACAAGGACGCAAGGAAGCAAGGAAGCAAGGAAGCAAGGAAGCAAGGAAGCAAGGAAGCAAGAAAGCAAGGAAGCAAGGAAGCAAGGAAGCAAGGAAGCAAGGAAGCAAGGAAGCAAGGAAGCAAGGAAGCAAGGAAGCAAGGAAGCAAGGAAGCAAGGAAGCAAGGAAGCAAGGAAGCAAGGAAGCAAGGAAGCAAGGAAGCAAGGAAGCAAGGAAGCAAGGAAGCAAGGAGGCAAAGCAAGGAAGCAAGGAGCAAGGAAGCAAGGAAGCAAGGAAGCAAGGAAGCAAGGAAGCAAGGAAGCAAGGAAGCAAGGAAGCAAGGAAGCAAGGAAGCAAGGAAGCAAGGAAGCAAGGAAGCAAGGAAGCAAGGCAAGGAAGCAAGGAAGCAAGGAAGCAAGGAAGCAAGGAAGCAAGGAAGCAAGCAAGCAAGCAAGCACGCAAGCACGCACGCAAGCACGCAAGCACGCAAGCACGCAAGCACGCAAGCACGCAAGCACGCAAGCACGCAAGCACGCACGCACGCACGCAAGCACGCACGCACGCACGCACGCACGCACGCACGCACGCACGCACGCACGCACGCACGCACGCACGCACGCACGCACGCACGCACGCACGCACGCACTCACGCACGCACGCACGCACGCACGCACGCACTCACGCACGCACGCACGCACGCACGCACGCACGCACGCACGCACGCACGCACGCACGCACGCACGCACGCACGCGCGCACGCACGCACGCACGCACGCACGCCTATTTTCTGTGGCAAATATATTGAGTAAAGCGAGCTTGCTATGCTTTACTTGTGGATTCCTTATTTGCAGCGACACATCTTTGTTTGGTTGGATCCAATGGTCGAAAGACTGGGTTCCCGTACCTGGGCGAGGCCATAGGATTCCGTGTTTTGGCTGAAGCATGGTCGAGAGATTTGACGGGACAATGTGGGTATGCCGTGTTTTGAGGGTGCCCCTTTTCTTGTGGTTCTAAAAGGAACACCAACCAAAAGGAAAACCAACAAAAAGACATCCATATGTCTTGATATGGTTCCCCCAAAAAAAGACCGACAAAAACAAGAAACAAGAATCAATGTGCCTTGGCTCCCCACCATCCTTTTAGGTTTCTAGGGTTTAATGCTTGGGTCTCCGCATTGCATCCACAGGTTACCCTCCCACCAACCAACATGGAAGTGCAAAAAGGCCCTTTCCAAGAGGAAAGTGTGCGCAAACCCATGTTAGCTGGTGGGAGGGTATTCACTTTTCGGGGATCTGAAAACGGTTTCGGCCCCGGCCGCCAGTGCCGGTTTTCCCGTGCGGAGGGTCCGCAGCCCCCGCGCAGGAGATGTTGGCAGGGGCTGCGAAGGCCCTGGCGGGCCTGAAGAGCCTCTATGTGCCTTGCCGTGAGCATTGGGCAAATCTTCCCCCCTAAGAATTGTAATTTGAGAGGGGGGCGGGGGGGTACCCCAGCGAAATTTCATTTGTTGTTGCACTTTTGAGGCGGGGGGTGGTTGTGAAACACGGAGGCAAGGTCTCGCGCTCAGGTTTTTGTGGGGGGGGGGCAAGACGGGTGTGTCTTTTGATCGCTGGTTTTTTAGGATTAGTTTGAGGGACTCAAAGGAGAACTGGCCATTGTTAGGATGATTTTGTGGAAACTCACCATCCGACCTTTTGTTTTTTCGGGGGGGGGGGGAGCAAAGACGCACCACGGTGTGCAAATCGGGTTGGATCCATCGCGACTGGTGCAAAAGGGTCAAGCTTGCACCAAAGGATTGTGTGTGTGTGTGTAGCAGACATCATTTGTTGGAACCCATTTAGGGTCGCCCAACTTTTGCTTTTGGTTTGTGGGGATATTGCTAGAGATAATTTAATCAACCAATGTAAGAGCTCCGACAAAGGGCGCCATGACCAAGGCCAGTAGAAGTTTGACGATGGCACACATGAGGGGGTTGATCGATATTCCTGGTCCCCACATGACCATGGGACACTTGTCTCATTTAGTGGGACATCTCATTGTTTTTGTTTGTGGTTTTCTCCAATGGTCATCCCACCTTTGGATCAACCCCCACATGAGCTTCGACACCGGATGTATGTTGTCGGATGGACCAACCCGGCAGAGGTGGGGGTGCTTCCCCACAAAAGTGAAGGATCCACTTTTGAATGTGACACCTATCAGGGGGAAAGGCAGTTCCTCGGCCTCCATCTCTTCTGGCGACCATATATAAATCCATTTCCAGGGGGTGACTCGCATGAGTGGTATCTCGACTGAGCCGGAATTCGCATTACTTACTCGCTCAAAGACCTGTTGATCAATCGGTTTTCCTGTCAAGGTCACAAAGGTTGTATCCTTTGGCTTCCAGATCCTTGAAGCTCTACGAAATCAAACTGTTCAAGCTTGGCGCTGCCCCGCCATCCCCTTAGGCTTTTGGCTTTCACTTGGTCTAGCGGATTAATGGATGTTCACTTTTAAGCAGGGGAGGATTGTTTTCGGACCGTCCTGAATGGTGAAGTTTTCATCTTGGTTTCCTTTCGACACCACTAACAAAAACTGGGAACCTTCAACAGAAAGCACACCCCATTTTAGCGGTTTCTTGCAAGAAAGATGGTTAAGACCACTCGGAGATCATGCTTTGGAATACTGGGCTCAAGTTGGCCCGCAGGTTTCGCGAGGAAAAAAAACGAATTCGGATCTGGCACCATTTTTTTTTTCGAACAGGTACCTCAGGAACTGGGCCAAAAGCTGACAGATGGCGCCGCAGTTTTTTTTCTTCTTCTGTGGCTAGGTCCCCCAGTGCCCTTTGACCAGCTGTTTTGGTTGGGAGATTGACCTACTGGAGGACCCAGGTGGCATCAAGGGAATGACTCAACCAAAGGGGGGGAGGGGGAATTGTGTACTCCACTTTCACCCAAGTGCAATTATCTTGGTGGATTTTTCTTAGAGGGGGCGGGGTACTGAACACTGCTTTGAGGCCTTCGGCACTCGGATTTCTTTTTGTGTGTTGCATAAATCTTAGGTTTAATAGAATATAATAACATGGGGTATGTGTCTTTGTTGAGGCTATGCTTTGTGGGGACTGAATCGGAAGTCAAAGGGATGCCAACCATTTCCAGGTATCTTTCTCAAAGTGGACCCCCTTTTGGTTGGAGCTTAAAAGGAAATCACAAGGACACGTGACCGTTTAACGGAATGTTGAGAACCTCATGCTATTTTGGGTTGGGGGCAAGGGGGGGCGGGGGGGTAAAAAAGCTGCTACTGAACCCGTTGTGGTTTTGATGCCAAGGGGAATCCCGAATTGTGATCGGGATGATCTCCAGAATTATGTCATTGGTTGGATGGTTGCGAAATCCGGCACAGCACACGAAAAGAAACTTTGGGTAAAACCTTTCAAGGTTTGTTGGCACTTGCATTGGGGAATCGAATCAGAAAATCCAGGGTTTCTGAACGGTGCAAAATGGATGGATTTCGCCACCATCCACAGAATGCAACAGAGTCCGAAGATTTGTTGGTATCTTGGAGTTGGGCCAAGGTTTATAGAGTAGTCATGGATCTCTCATTTTGGGTATCCCCCCACCAACGCATGGAAGTGCAGAGGCCGCTTAACAGGAACATTTTTTTTTTTGTGTGTGTGTGTGTGTGTGTTGTTTTTGTTCTGGAAAAAGGTTTGTGCACCAAACCATGTTTGCTCGTAGGGTATCACAGGAACGGTTGCCTTTCCATTTTCCACAAGCATGCCCCAGGTCTTGCCACGCACGCTTTGGATCGCTTTCGGCATCTACTTTGTGCTGGGCTTCCTGAATGTCTGAGCCTCAGCCATCAGCGGTGATTTGGGCAGGTACCCCCGACAGCATGCTGTAAACGCGCCGATATGCAGGCACCCTCAGAGGATTTATGCCGTGTCTGCCAAAAGTGAACAACTTGCTAGCAAGAAATCAACGAACCGTTTTTGGGGAACCACGGCATAAATCCCTCTGAGACAACTTTTGGGAGACAAACGTGAAATACGACAAGTGAAGAACTTGTTGGCAACGCTAAGAGTTGAGACACTTCGTTTAGCCCAAACTTTGGATCCACCTCCCAGGGTAAGGTTGCTGGAATGGATGCCATTTGAACAGGGAGGTTGCCGGAAGAACTGCCATTTGCGAGGCTTGGACGAAGCCCCTGGCCAGTGATTGAAAGATATTTCTGTTGGCTTCCAGTTCGAAGAGGAAGGTGAGGAAGCCCACCACCTGACTTTTCCTGGGTGGCTCCCAGCCTCTCAGCCATCCCCTAAGCTTTCTAGCTTTTGGTGTTTAGTGGTGGTTTCCATTTACTCCACTACAAGTTAGTCACTTGTTTTAGTGTTTAGTGGTACTTCCCATTTCACCCACGAAAAGTTCGTCACTGTTCGCGGGGGATCAGAAAACGGGCAGCCCCCTGGATTAATCAGAGCACTCGAGCGCTGAGGTTTCCAGCATGAAGCTCTACCTTCCGCTGCTGCGGAGCCTGGTGGTTTGTGATGCCCCCGTCAGCGCCCCGCCGAGTGTCAGAGGGGGGGAAAGGGTGCTGACCCTTTTCAGGGGGAGTAGATGGTGGCATTTGTTTTTTGTCTTTTTCTTTTTTTGTGAGGGTGGTAATCTTTTCTCTTTTTTTTTAGGGTAGCCCGTTTTGGTTTGTTTCAAAGGGAAGCCACAGGAAAACCACCATTTCTGGGCGTCCCGGCGCATGTCCTTTCTGGCATTGCCTCTTTTTTTCTTTCTTTTTGCCGGGGGGGGTGGGGGGTGGTGGTGGTATGGAAACAAGAGGTGTTTTGTACTGTATACGCTTTAGGACCTTTGGCCTGATTTGTCATGTTCAGGTTCAATGAATATGGAAAAAAGAATCTGAAAAACGCCATTTTGATCTGGCCGCCTCAAAATCGGCCGACGTTTTCCGAGTTTTGGTCGGCCTGGCCCCAAAATAACACCCGACGCCATTTCAAAAACGCGGGTGCCACGACCTTCTTTCCCCTGGGTCCACATCTGGGGGCATCTGGTTTCAACCGTTCGGCCACTTCAGAGAAGTGGCTGTGGTTGTCAAAGCCGTTTTGGGATCCCATTTTGGGGGTCCCGGTGAATTCACCACCCATTTTAGGTTAGCTATTTCACTGGTTGGATTGGGTCCCGTTCACTGGGGGCTAACCGATTTGGCTTTTGACAAGCCCATGGCCAAGTGGCCGACCTTTTCTTCGCTGAGGGGAGGGGCTCTACTCGGGCTCCCTCCGCTGCGGGGACTTTGCGGAGGTCATCTCCGTGTCGCTGCAGCAGGCGATTCCCCGGCCGGTCGGATGGGTCGATTCGGGGTGAGCCGGGGGGAAACGAGAGAGGGCTGGCACGTGGTTTGTTCTGCGGGTTTGTAGATGCGATGTACGTATTCGACGGGTCTCGGAATGTTTCCACTATATATTTTGCTACAGCAGATGTGCATATACACAATATCTACATATATACTTTGTTTAATGAAGGTTGATCAAGTTTTCCGGACCTCCAAATGACCATGGGTAACTTTTGCCCATTTAGTGGCAAATGTCATCATGTGTGAGTATTTTCCCCAATGGTCATCCCATGTAAAGGAGCCTTTGATCACCCAGCGTTTGTCTTTAGAGTGCGTACATGCATGTTCATCGTCGTTGTTATCTTCTTTGTGGTTGGCGGCTTCACGGTTTTGGACTCCTTGACACGGAATTGACTATGCCTGGCTTCGGGAAGAGTCAGAACTGGGACCATTTGGGACCCTTTTTAATGGGAGTGTCCTGTTAAGAGTGCTTACACTGGGGTCACCCCCAGAAGGGTTCCTGTTTTTTTTCTACCAGCAGGGTTCCCGAGGTATATTTCAACCCAAGGGGAACGATAGGGAAGCCTGGTCTCGGGTTCACCAGGCCCCAAACAACAAAAGACAAAAGCCTTCAAGTCCACTTTGCTTGGGTTCCCCCAAACAAAAGGTCAACTCAAAATTGGGGAAACACCTAGGGTTCCCCCACCCAGCAAGGTGTTCAGGCCAACCCCAAAAAGGGTTTCCCTGTTTTTCGAGGGTCGGGCTAGGGACATGTCAACCCCACAACTTCCATTTGCTCAAGACCATTCCTTTTATGTTCCCTTGTTGGTGTCAAAGTTGAAATCTATGACTAGTTGAAATCTATGGCGCAAGTATGTTCTCCTTTTTTTCCCAGGGGACGAAGAAAGCAAATGAGGCGCAATCAAAACCCGGGTAAGTGAAGGTTAGTCAGGGATAATTACAGCCAAAGCAGCGGCCGCCTTCTTAGTTCTTTACAAGGTCCTGGGTCGACCATTTTTGTATCGGGTTTTGATTGCGACTCACTTGTTACACAACCACATTTGTTTCAGCGCAGGGCGTTTGCACCAGTACGCACGAAGAAGTTGGTGTCTCGAGCAGACTCCAATTTTTCGGAGCGCCGATTCTTAGCTTCTTCGGCCTTCGGTCGCCGAAGTCCGCAGTCCGCCGTCAGGAGGCCTGGCTGGTGGGGGTGAAGCTGCTGTGCCGCATGGTCTCGGGCCCCATCCTTGGGGCGCTCTGCGACTCCCACGGCCGCGCCTCGTGCAGGTTTCGGTGGGTTTCGGTGGGGCTGGCGGTCGTGGTGGGTCCCCCAGCACTTGATGTGCCGTTTCTTTTACCGTTTCTTTTTTGGCTGGGAGGGCTCCCCTACCAACTCCCCTGCAGGGCAACTAGTCTCCTTCAAAGTCATGTTATATTGCAGACTAGGTTTGTCAGTAGTGCCCTTTTACCGTTTCTTTTTTGGGGGGAGGGTTCCCCTACTAAAATGGAGTACAGAAAAAGGGTACCCTTGTTCTAACCTCTCTACTGGAGGACCTGTAGAACATGAATCAGAATCTGATCTGTTTTTCCAGTGCACTTCTGTTTTGGGCCAAGTTGACATGGAATCCAACAAGGGGGAGACCCCCCTCGAAAGGAGATGTGTGTTAGCATCATGAGTTTGGGGTTCCATGTAAGAAACAAAGCCGGGGATGACCCAAAGTCCAGATGTACCCAAGATTCAGTGGTGCTGGTTGTGTGGGCTCGGCTCCCATGCCAAAACTTGCCCGAAAAAAAGGGGAGAGTCACTAGGCCACCATCATATTAATAATCTACATGTTCTATCTTCTAATAATCCTGACAGGAATTCCACCAACAATAAAATAGCATTTTTCCTTTCATTATTAGTAACGATGTCTATGGAAAGATATTAATTATCTATGTATATCTTCTTCAAATTACCTCCTGGTTCTCTTCTTTCTCACATCCAGATAATGCATTAGAAGCATGCGGATTACTAACTCCTTTACAAATAGTACCTGAATGGTATTTCTTATGCCAGTATGCTATGTTAAAAGCTGTGCCACATAAAAATGCAGGATTGATTATCTTATTTACTTCTATCTTCTCTTATTTTACTTTATGAGAAGTCTCTCACCTTAATTTTATTTTATAATAGTTACATTTAGATTTAATGGTTTTTATTTGCGCTTTTGGTTTCTGAATCTTTTTGTCTTTTATTTGGATAGGTGGTCAATTTCCTGTGGACAACTTTCGGCATGACCGAAAAGGGAGTGTGTCCAACCATGCGGAGACACTCTTCGTCCTGGGGAAGCTGCAAGGGCCGTATCGAAATCTGGAAACCAGCAGGTACATGGACATGTTTGACCCCTGAAATCAGCTTCCCTCTTGGTGGTTGAGATTGGTGTTTTGAAGGCGCTGTTTCCCATTTGCCCTCTACAAGAACCAGGGCTCAAAGCCGAATCCAATCAACGAACCGAAACCCCCAATCAAGGAACACCTGATGAGTAACCATTATTTGGGTGCCTTAGTAACCACTAAGGAGAACAAACAATGTCCTCAAAGCAGCCCGCAATGGATGGTGAGTTTGGGGTCGTTCCAACGCCTCACCGGAAATATCCACAAGTAGTCCAAGAGCCAGCTGCCGTGTTGGCTGCTTCTTGGGGGCTCAACATTGGTCCTCCTTCCTTGCGGGTTTGGCATTTGCGGCTTCTCGGGTGTCCCACAGAGAAAGTGTTTTGCCCACCCAACTTTGCGGCAAAGGGGGCCGCCCAGATTGTCCCATATCTGAAGCAACTATCTGAGTCAAGTGGCATCCTCGAAGTTGCCCTCCACATGGGTGTTTAAAGGGGAACCGGGTCCTCAAAGTACTTTGAGCACCTCGAACGTATAGGGCCCCTTAGCAGATACATTTGTGCCGGTCAACAAATCACAGAAATATCATATGAATTAGAGGATTATGTTCCTTGTAAACAAGTATTTTTGGGAATTATCGTCAAACGACCGCTGTGTATCCGCTTGAAGCATGTTACCACTTTAAAGGACCCAATTTGTTTGTTGCTCACCATCCCCAAAAGTAGTTTCAGAAGCTCTCAACATGCTAACAACTTTAAAGAGCCCATAAATTGTGTTGTTCACCACCCCCTAGAACCCCTCAACCTTTGACCACTGTAAAGGACCCTTTTTGTTATTGTACTGTGGATGATCACACTCCTGTCCACCAAAGAAACCCGGAATGAAGCTTGCCCTGTAAATACCAACAAACCTTCTGGTTTCCACCGTAGGTTTCTGAACGGTGGTGCGAAATGGATTTCGCAACCATCCACAGTAGGTCGGGCGGCGTGCGTCGAGCGTCGAGTGTCGAGTGAGGCAAGCCGGTGCTGCTGCTCAGCGTGGCAGGTTTCACGCTGGCCTCGTGGCTCATTGCCCTGGCGGTGACGCAGGACCTCATCCCCCCCATCGCGCCGAGTCCTCAGCCGCGGGACTCGGCGCGGACTCGGCGCGGACTCGGGACATGTCCCGCGCTGGGTGTTGCTTTCTTTATGGCTTGTTGAAGTTGGATTTTTGTTGGACTTTAACGTAACTTTGGGGGTTGGATGTGGTTTTGGACAATTTGATAATTAACTTTGGGAAAACAGGTCTAGGTGGGATTTTCCATTTGGACCCACACAACTTATACTTATTGCAAAGGGGTCAACAGCAACCAAGGCAATGTTTTCCAGGGTCCGGTTTGCCGGGGGAGGGGGGGTTGTGACCTGGAGTTGAATTGCCTCCAACTACTCAACGAGAATTGGGATGTATCATCCCAATGTAGCTGCTATGAAAAAGCATTTATACCCCCAACATCTTTCGGAACTGGCAATGAAAGCCTGAGGCGAAGTTTGGAGGGACAGTCCCAAGCTGAAAAATCGGTGCGGCTTCTGACGCCCTCCTCCTTTCAAATTGCAGGTCTCTGACCTGACAATCCGTCGGACAGAATCCGAACAGAAGCACAACTGTGGGCCCTGAAACAGTGGACTCCGCAAACAAAACGACAACTCAACCGGCTGCCTATAGGGAGTTGCTGCCTGGACTGGTTCTTACTTCGGATGCCCAAATTGTGGACTTCATCTGCATTTCTGTTTCGGTTTCACACCCTGGCTAGGGTTTGCTTTGTCCGCCTTTGGCATGAGCGACCCTTTTTTGTTGCCTTTGTCCAGCTGGTCGGACGAATGCAGCTGACCATTGTGTGATCATTGTTCGCAGCGCTTACCTAAACTGCAGAAGTGACTCATTTCACTTCCATTTGCTTAAGAATATATGGTGTTTTTTTCTTTCTTTTTCCGGCATGTAATTGAATCTATCACTGTGCTGGATATATTTGCTCATTTTGTCCAGAGGCCGGAAAACAAGGGGGGGGGGGGGGGGAAAAAACGCCAAAGGAGGGATTGAGTGTTCCGCATCAGTTTTTGACATGGCCTTAAGGTTCCGATGCTATGTGTCCGTCACAGCAGCGAGCTGTCGGAAAGGTCAGGAGACAACCCTGTAGACTTCCCGTGAGACACATCCGCCGTTGATGTCCGGGGTCCTGAAAGGTCTGGCCGAATGATATAGCGTATGGTTTTTGGTATATGGTACATGGTACATGCTGTGTGGCGTACATAGGTACTTGGTTGGCTCGGACTCAAAAGGGACACTGCAAATTGCATCCCCCACCACACACCCACACCCACACCCACACCCACACCCACACCCACACCCACACCCACACCCACACCCACACCCACACCCACACCCACACCCACACCCACACCCACACCCACACCCACACCCACACCTACACCCACACCCACACCCACACCCACACCCACACCCACACCCACACCCACACCACACCCACACCCACACCCACACCCACACCCACACGCACACCCACACGCACACCCACAC